TTGTATATTTGGAGAAATGTCTGTTCAGGTCCTTTGCCCATTTTTTAATTGTTTTTTGTTGTTGTTGAGTTGTAAGAATTCTTTATATATTCTGTATACTAGAGCATTATTAGATATATGATTTAAAAATATTTTTTCTCATTCTGTAGGTTCTTTTCACACTCTTGATATTCTCTTTTGGTGCACAAAAGTTTTTTAATTTTGATGGAGGCCAGTTTAATTTTGTTTTGTTGCTTGTACTTTTGGAGTGATACTAAGAGACCATTACCAAATTCAAGGTCATGAAGATTTGTCCCTGTTTGTTTTTTTTTTAAGTTCTACAAGTATTAGCTTTCATATTTACATTTTTGATTCATTTTGAGTTAGTTGTTATATATGGCAGAAAGTGAGAGTTCGGTTTTGTTCTCTTGCATGTGGATGTCCAGTTGTCCAGCCTCATTTGTGAAAGACTAGTCTTACCGCTGAAGGTTCTAAACACTTCCCAAAAATCAGTTGATCACAGATATATATGTTTGTTTCTGGACTGATAAGTGTATTTCATTGATTTTTATGCCTAGTAAGTTTTGAAATCAGGGAGTCTGAATCCTTCAACTTCGTTTTTTGTTTCCTTTTTTTCATGATCACTTTGGATATTCAGGACCACAGCATTGTATAGAGTTGTGATCTTCATTCTAAGGAAGTTGGAGGGGGTTTGGATAAGGTCTGGGGAAGAATAATTAAAATAATCGTGGGTTGTATTAGGCTATTCTTATCAGATGGAAGGATGAAGGCTGAGAGGAAATTTATGATCGGCTTGTGAAATCATGAAGAGGAAGGGTAGCACAGCTGATTTGGACACCAAATCTTGGATACCCTAGAACTGGAAGGTTGCCTGGTGAGGTTCAGAAGTGGCAAGTTCAGTGTGCCTCAACAGGACAGTGCTCCACACAAGGACTTAATTGATGAAACTTATTATTTTCAAGGAACACTTAATATGAGCTAAAAATCATAAATACTGTAACATTAACACACTCTGGGACATTCACAGACCTCTATCTGCCAGAACAAACGTTCATGTTTTGCAGTCTGCCCCTTACCTTTTGAGGTTGGCCACCACACTGCACTCTCCCACACCTTGTCCCCTGGTGATGTGGTTCCAGGCCCAGTATTGGGATGAATGGCATGAGCCTAGCCCTGTATGTGACTCTTAGGAATTCCCAGTGAGCCACTGCCTCACCAGGTGTCCTTCCACCATCTGCCAGTGGGTAAGAAAGGGGACCCAACCAGCGTCCTGCCTGCAGTACGGTCACCTTGCTGAGACCTGGCTGTGCTAGTGCCTCTACAACACGCAGCTAGACGGTGTCTGCCCAAGTTGGGACTTGTTGGCCTTCCTCAAAACACAGCTTTTCTCACGAATCAAATTTGCATTTACTTCCTACCACAGACCACCTTCTAATCGCATTTGGATCCTGCCAAAGCAGTTTTGTCTTTAGTTCAGGTTTGACTAGCTTGTTAATAACAGAATGCCCTGCTAGTAGGATTTTCATTCTGACCACTTTGTAACTTGTTTGTGTATAGAATGATTTTGTTACTCTTCTGTGATTGGCTTTCCTAATTGTTGTTAGTTCTATGTAACTGTTAGGTGTGTATTATTTATGCACGTGTGTAGACTGATTCGATGAGTCGGTATGAAACATAAAGGGCTGTTGCCATTAATGCAGATTCGGCTTCTCAAAGGCATCAAAATTAGGTTTGTGGTTTAGTGTACTAGTAAATCTATAGTAAATTCAAATGTTTGTATATTTTTATTATCACTTATTTTGTTTCAATGAAAAATGAGTATTTACAGAAGACTACCCATAGTGTCTGCCTTTAAAGTGCAGGAAAAGGTAAATAAAATTTAAAGCAGAACTTCCCAGTGTTGGACCAGCGAGGCAAACAATGTGAATTTAGAAATAACTAGATTCAAATTTCAGTGGAGGATTTTAGAGGTCATCGAGTTCAGTTCCTTATTTCTGGTTAATCATGAGGAAAATGAGGTCCAGGGAGGTTAAATGACTTGCCCAATGCCACGCGACTAGTTACTGGCAGAGCTGAGGCTCCAACAGCAGTTTCTTGCTGTAACTTGCTGCTTTCTAATTAGTGGTTAAAGAGACACATGTTAAGTGTGTGTGTTTTAGCTTTACATTGAGAATAGGGATTTAAATTTATTGAGCATCTATTTGCTAAGCACTTTTTATGTCATTTAATTCTTACCTAGTCCTGTGACATAATTATTAACAGTCCCACTTTACAGATTAGAAAACCGGGGTGCGTAAAGTTCCCTAACTTGCTCAAGGTCACATAATTAACATTGGAGCCGGCATCTGAGCCCTAGGTCTACCTGACCTGTTTCCTGCCGTGATGCCCTGCTGCAGCTCTGGTGATGGTAACTGAAACCTTCTCAGGGGGGTGGGTAGTAGCGATGGTTATATTACAAACAGATCTTTTTCAGACTCTTCATTCGTCGGAAAATATGTAGATGTACACAGATGGGTGCAGAGGGAGTCTTTCTCTATTCGAGTACCCACAGCACTTAGTTGATGTTTGGCTAATCTTTATGCTGTTTCTGTAAGATAAATAGTATTTTCTGGTTGGACAGCTAAGGCCCAGATAGATTCAGGGGCTTGCTCAGTTCCTTATCAGAAACTCACATGGCCCTGCTCCCAGTTCCGCTCTTCGTCCTGTCTAGCATAGATTTCACCACTTTTGTTCTTTCCTGTCTTACACCAAGATTGTTTAAGTACTTCCCAAAAATAATGAGCCACGTGTGGGTGTGTTCGTTCTCCAGGATGAATCACTGTGAAAGGGGCCGTGAACCAATGAAAGGAGAGTAAGTATCTGGAATCAGAGACTCCTGGCTCGCCTGCCTGCTAATTGACAGCTCTGGAGTGAGCTTTTCTCTAAAAGGTGGCAGCAGGTCCGCCTGTGTGTCCCACCGCGCTCAGAATAGCCCTCTAGGAGTTGTTCGCTTTCCCTCCTCACTTCCCAAAATAGACCCAGTGCTGTTCTCTTTGCCGGGCCTGTCCTGGCACACTTACGGAGAGGTGTGCGCTCCGTGGGGAAGCCGCCTCAGTGCTCCAATGCCCCCACTGACGCGGGGGTGCGGCGTTAGCTTTCCGAGTAACAGTCAGGGCTCCAGCATGAGCACAAGAGATTTGGATCGAGTATTTGGAAGGTCATAGAAGTAAATTTGTTAAACAAGAGGAGTAAAAGAGGAAACAAATAAAGTTATTGAGGAGGTTCCTTAATCTTTCTTGTGGCTAAAAGGGTTGAAAATTCCTTCTGTGATTTGGAACCTAAAGAGTACCTGCTTTATACTTCTGTCCTTAAAATGTAACACTGCCCAAACCCTTCAGCAGGTAGCTACATGCTTTGGAATTTCTCCCAGAAGAAAGGGATCTGATCAGATGCTGTGAAAAAAATAACCAGAGGCCATTCAGTGAAGACCTGTGCTGCTCGTTTACCTGTCAGTGCTGCCTCCTTCGTTTCCTTGGCTGGGAATGGCCAGGGGTGTCCTTTCTAGAAAGCCTGAGAAAGGAGGGGTTGGACACTGAGATATTTAGAATCTGTCTTTGGATTTGAAAAGCCACGAGATGCCTTCCAGCGTATTGGAGGAGAGACAAAGATAGATTGTTTACAGCCTAAAGGGGTGAGTTATGACAGGCTGGTTGTTCGTGGAACTGGTCATACATGTCTCTTCTTGAGGGGCCCTAGTTTGAATACCTTCCCACTTGGTGTCCAGATAGCATTCATTTAGTGTCCAATCTGGGGCCTGGGTGGGCCCTCCCACCTCCATCCCCTGACAGGTGAGAGTCTCGTTCAGCACTGAGAGTCCCAACCTAAGTATTGTAGTGGATGAAGCCACACTCCTGCCCATCCCAAGAGGTCAGGGCTAGGTTAGGCTCGTGGGAGACAGTGCTGGGGAGCACCAACTGCTGCTGTCTGTGCTATTCTTGTTAGATGGATAAATAAAGGGTTTCAGACTCCGGGGCTGCTGAACTGGCTTTCAGAGGCACCAAATTCATTTGCCATAATTTCCTGTCACTAGTGTACACTTAGGTATACTACACACCCCGCAAAACTCACTAATCCCAGAGATGATTGCATACACTGCCTGTTTGGGGAAAAAAAAGTATGTGTGTATGCATATATGAAAAATACTCTTAAAGTGATATACATGGACCTTTCAGGATGGGTTAAACTTATTGAGCCCTTTTTATGCATTAGCTCATTTAATCCTCACAGTAACATTATGAGGTAGCCACTAATATTATCCTCTTTGGAGGATACTGTTTTTGCCTCTCATAAGAGGGGCAACTGCCAGGGACTAAAAGAAGAGGATGTTGGATAGTCGAGGGCAACTCTTCAAAGTAAACAACATGCAAGCTGAATTTTAAAGGATTTGCAAGAATTAGCTAGGAAAAAGAGCACAGCCTCAAAAGAGTACGTGAGTGCATGCGTACAGATTGCATCCCGGAAACTGCAGGCGTGCTTAATGCTGGCAGAAGGAGGTGGGGCGATGGAAGCCCCCAGAAACCCTGGGTGGTTTTGGGTGTGCTGAGAGAGAGCGCGCGCATGCGAGCGCGCTTGCAAGCGTGTGTTGGGGGTAGGGACCTGCATTCCCCAAAGGGTGCCTTCCTCTCATAGTCATCTAAATTTGAAGGAAAACGTCTTTCCCAGCCACAAAATAATTTGTATTAAGTCTAAGGCAAGGTTCAAAAGGTAGTTTCTCTCTCATAGGCATAAAATAGAGCACTTAGAGGAAAATGGAAGGGCCTGGAAAGCCTTGTTTGTGAGCTAAATAAACAGGTGAAAAAGTTGTGCCTCCACTGACGATGTCGTCTTTCTGACCCTAGCCCTATAAAAGCTCCTTATTTCAGAAGATCAAGCATGCTAAGGAATGATATCCTGAGTCTGGAAAATGGCCTAGGATAAGATCTGATCATTGATATCAACGTCTGCTCCCAAATTTCCTGCAGCTCTACTGTGTACGTGCACCAGCTGCCTACAGGCCAACTACACGTGTGAAACAGATGGGGCCTGCATGGTTTCCATTTTCAACCTGGATGGAATGGAGCACCACGTGCGCACCTGCATCCCCAAAGTGGAGCTGGTTCCCGCTGGGAAGCCCTTCTACTGCCTGAGCTCCGAGGATCTGCGAAACACGCACTGCTGCTATACTGACTTCTGCAACAAGATTGACCTGAGGGTTCCCAGTGGTGAGTGGGCACCCTTGTTGGACTATTGGCTCATCATGGAGGTAGGGCACCCCTCTCATTTCATCCTTCTCTACTCTTCCCCAATCACTTTGTTTGATGATAGATAAAGGTACCTCTTTGAAGTTCCCTAAGGTGACAAGGGATGGAATTCCTCCCATGTTAGGCTTGTAGATTAGAGGATGAGGGAGACAGATTGTTGTCAAGTTGGTCCCGGAGGTGAAAGCTGCATTTTGGATAGCGGGCAGCTATTAAGGAGTGGGAGAGCCAGGCAGGGATCCCAAAGGGGAGGATATAGGGCTGATCCTGAAGGAGGGCCCCAGTGCCATATAAAGGGAGCTGTTAGGGTAGGGGTGAGGGCAACAATGGGGAAAAGGGCTAGAATGAGCAAAAAGGACAGTGATCAAGATGGGAAAATACTAGATCCCACCCCTCTGCAGGTCTGTCATTTAGGCAGTATTACTGGGGAGATCGGAGGAGTAGCAGAGAGACGGGAGCAGAGCTCCATGGAGCTGTTACATGTTGAAGAGTAGATCCTTGCATCTGCCTGGGGCACTGAGATGGGAAAAGTACCGTGAAGTTACAAAGTGGGTTATGGGTTTGACTGCTGCAAAGGGCTCCTTCGCTAGAGAGGCTTGCATTTGAGAGTATCCAGGCAGGCAAACCAGTCCCTGAAGGCTGGAGAGGTCAGGAATACCTGGAGCACGCGGAGAGGGAAAGGGCATTTCACTTGGAGGGAGGCATCGAGGATTTATAAGGCCAATGCATACCCTGTTTTCACTCTTTGTTCTTTCCCTCTCTTCTCTCACTTGACCCAGGTCACCTCAAGGAGCCTGAGCACCCTTCCATGTGGGGCCCTGTGGAGCTGGTTGGCATTATTGCCGGCCCAGTGTTCCTCCTGTTTCTCATCATCATCATTGTTTTCCTTGTCATTAACTATCATCAGCGTGTTTATCACAACCGCCAGAGGCTGGACATGGAAGATCCCTCATGTGAGATGTGCCTCTCCAAAGACAAGACGCTCCAGGATCTTGTCTACGATCTCTCCACGTCGGGGTCTGGCTCAGGTACTGAGTTCCTCGGGCTTTGTGTCTCTTGTTGGCCCCCGTCACGGCTTCCCAGCAGAGTAGAGCATTTACGGAGAAGGCCGGGCCTTACACTTGTTTCTAGCAGCATTGAGTCATTCGGTTTCCTACTTCCCCATACTTTTGGAGACTGACGTGCACTAACATCAGACAATGAGGGTCACAGAAAAATCTTTCCTTCCCTGGGGCTCCAGAGGCCAAGTGCAAAACTCTCCCTTCCAGAAGCTCTGCCTCTCTTCAAGTTCTGGAACCATCCATCTATTAAAATTCATCTTGTTCCACCTGAGTGGTGGAGTGCTCAGTTTAAGGGCCCCTTTTGAAAAACAGGAGTGTGCCGTGTTCCTGTGAGGTGGTGACAGCTAATCATTGATCTCTGAGCAACCACAAGGGGAGTTGAAGGGCACTGAGTGAAGCTGAATGCAGGGGTTTGGTGAATCATTGACTTGTACCAGTTGCCTAGGGGTTTTGGTGAGGGTTAAATAAGGGCAGCATGGCGTCACCACCATTTCTTGTGCTACCTATTGGTAACTGAGCCTTTCTCAGATCAGGGAATTGAACCAAACACTGGACTTTGTCATGAAACTAGACTAGGATTAAGATAATTGGGTCATTCAGGTCTCAATTATTTCGATGATGGTGGTAATCTGTTCTTGTTAAAAAAAAGAAAAAACAACTCATCCACAAAGGTCATTATTACCATTCTAGTTAAAACATATAAACTCATATTTGTGAGAATTCTGTGTTTATTTTTTTTCCATGTGACAAGACTATTCTGTAGAGAAACGATGCTATCACTTGTAGCCAGACATTCCTCCTTAAACACAAGGAATACTTTGAGCTGTGACATCTCTTCACTTTTAGTGGTTTTGCCTTAATTAAGCTCTGCAGTAGGGAGCTTAATGATGCATGTATTTAGAAGCTGTATACTTGGAGGAAGAGAGAAAATATATGGCTTGTTCTTTGATGAGAGAAGTGGGGCAGTGGCTAGAACTGCCTGGCGGACCCTGTGGCCTGATTTGCTGCTGGAGGAGGTAGCTCTGTTCCCAGAGTCCAGCTGAAGCCCTGGAAGGTGCACGGCGGGTACTTAGTTGACTGGAGTAAAACGATCGATAACTTTTTTCCTCTGGATGGTTTAGTCCATTCTTAATTTGGAATATGCAGAGCTTCCAAGATGTTGGAGTTTTAATACTGTGGATTTAAAATAAGCAAGTCCTGTCTGCTTACGTAACTTTCAGTTCACACGAACAAATATATGTGGAAGACCCTCTGGGTGACAGAGAGTGAATGGAGATGAGAAAGAGTCTGGGCCAAGGTTGGATAGAGGAGGTGGGGATTGTTGGGAAGGGTCCCAGAAAGGAGGGTGCGTTCAGAGGGGTTTTGAAGACTGAGTTCAAAGTTTTAAGAGAAATGAGGGGGCAGGGAACATTCCAGGTCAAGGAAAATCTCCTGAGAAAAAGGCGAAAAAGGCCTGAGAATTCACTGAGCGCTTAGGGAATGATAAGGAGGCTGGTATGGCTCAGCCACGCTGGGGTGGGGAGCGGCAGGCTGACCCAGGAGGAAATGATCTTGGGTGCCGTGTTTTTTCTGGCAAGATGAGAGGCATCTACTGCAAGTAGATGAAAAGAAATATTCGTATTTTCCTGTGGAGGGAGTTCAAGCAGTGGTATGGAGGATAAATTCATTCATTTACCAACCTCCTGTTAGAGCGGGCAGGGTGAGGCAGGGCTGCGTGTGGGTAGGAGAGCAGGACCAGGGTGAGATGGGAGACAGACCAGTTGGGAGTGTTTTAAAGACGAGCCAGAGCTAGGACTGGCACAGAGAGGATGGGGAGAAGGGCTCTACTTTGAGAAACATTTTGGTGGTTCTATGCTGTTGGTAACCCCTTTCTCAGATGAGGGAATTGAACCAAACACTGGACCTTGTTGTGATAGACTAGGATAAAGGTAACTGGGTAACAGCATGAACTTTGGAGCCAGACAGTCCTAGATTTTAATCCCTGTATTGCCACTTACTGCTTACATGAATTTGAGTGAGTTACTTAACCTTCCCCCTTTGGGCCTTAGTTTTCTCATCTGTAAAATGGGGATAATAATAATACCCACATTATAGGTGGTCGTGAGGAAATGAGATAATTTATGTGAAGCCTTTAGCATAGTGCTTAATGCATACTAAGCATATGGTAAATGGTAGTTAACATCCACAAGAGTTAGGGGGGTAGTAACTTTTTTTTTTTTTTAGTCCAGGAGAGGAAGTGAGTGAGTTAGTCTTGATGGTAAGAGTGATTGGTTAGATAGGGTGATGTTGAATGAGTCAAATGAGGCAATAAATAAGTCCTGTAAAGACAATAAAATTAATCTTAGAATAAGCATTGGTAGTGTCCCATTCTCCATCTGGAGCTCCACCTGTGAGCAGAAGTTTGCTGTCTCCGGGAGAGGGCAGATCCTTGTGTGCCCTGACCACAGTTTGGGTTTCATGGGCCACACAGCACTGCCCTCTAGTGGTGAGTGAGCAGAGCAGCCAGAAGGGACTCCGCGTGTTCAAGCCCTCATTTCATCTTTTCTGCCCTCTTTCCTCTTCATCAGCAGAAGGCAGATGTGGGTGGATTGGCCCACAAGAGGCTGGTTACAGAGTTGGTAAATCTGGTCAGGGATTTACATTCAAATCTGTCGTCCACACTGAGATGATAAATTGCTTAGATCAGGAACAGCTAATCCTATGCATTTCCCTTTCCGTGTTCTCTCTCAGTCACTGCCTGGCTTAGCTGTGTGGCGGACTACCTGGCCATGGTACAGGGGTGGCCACAGCACTCCATGGTCAGTGGACCCGTGTAGATTGGGGCACTGTGGTAAGGGCTTTTCCAAGGTGGCAACGAGAGTGGGAGTTACAACATTTAGCAAGTTTGCAATGTCAGTTTTCTTTCCATTCTTTGGTCCACAGGGTTACCCCTTTTTGTCCAGCGCACAGTGGCGCGAACCATCGTTTTACAGGAGATTATTGGCAAGGGCCGGTTTGGAGAAGTGTGGCGCGGCCGCTGGAGGGGTGGTGATGTGGCTGTGAAAATTTTCTCTTCTCGTGAAGAACGGTCTTGGTTCCGGGAAGCAGAGATATACCAGACAGTCATGCTGCGCCATGAAAACATCCTTGGATTTATTGCTGCTGACAATAAAGGTAAAGGGCTAGAGTGGGATACGGGGTGTCCCAAAGCCAACCGCAGCCCCAGACAGAGGGGGTGCCCGGGACAGCACAGCTCTGTTCGCCTTCATAGTTAGTAGCCATAGAAAGAGACTCTAAATTAGGTAATGGTTTTCAGACTTTTCTTCTGCAGAAAGCTTGTTCAAAAAACCCAGGTTACTAAGCAAATAAATAGATAAACAAGATTAAGCTTCTGTCCTACCTGCTCACTTTCGCTTCCTTGGCGCTCCTAAACCCACCCACAGGATCGTCCCTGAGGGGCCCGAATGAATTTATCTTGGCAACAGCTGGAGTGAAGAATTGTGATCTTAGCTCCTGCCAGGAAAGGATGGCCCCAGGAAAGCACGTAGTCCATGTTCTGTGACACAGCAGTTGCACACACACTTTGGTAGTGGAGTTGGTGCGACAGAGCAATCACCCGCCGCCCCCAACATGCTACCTCTTGGCTTTAAGGCTCAGCTTTGGGTCTGCTTGTACCCAAGTTTCCTTATCCCCTCCTTCTCTGTCTTCTGTTTTTACTTTCATTTTTGAGCCTCTCTTATGTGGCCAGTGGCCAGGCATGTTCTCATTTTTGAGGACCTCACTCACTAGCAAAGGGACAAAGTAATGACAGGACGTGACCAAGCAACGTGCTGTTCTACTGAGCACAGCCGGGACTGAGAGGAAGGTCTGGGAGGCAACACCTGAACTTGATTGAGGTGAAGTAGCAGAAGCTGGTCAGGAAGAAAAACCGGTGGAAGGTTCACGCCAGACACGTGTGCAGAGGTGACATGTGTCTGGGAGCCTGCGGGTAACATGGGACAGCTGTGTTACGGGAAAAGACGGGGGCGAGGTCATGGAGGCCAGATTACAAGGGTCTTTTTGAGAGGATTGTAGTTTATTATGAGATAGCGGATGGCAACTGAAATTCATTAATTCAGTAACATCCATTGACCTCTGCCAGTTTCTTGGGTCATCACACAGAAGAACAGGATGCAGTCCCTGACCGTACAGCCCCAGGGAAGGGGACAGCAGACACGTGGGCAGGTAGTACACTTGAAGTCCAAGAGCACGAGGCGATGGTCCCTCTGGCAGTTGTGACATAGTTTGCTCCTGTAGCACAGTGATTTTTAGAAGTTAGTGTCTACAAAGGCTACGAAGATGCTAAGTATTTATTTTTCCTTCCTGAAACAACAGCAGGCTGCACATTCCTCACGTTGCTGTGGGGGTTTGTAGTGACCTCATCTGCCCCCAAGCTAAAGAGTCTTGGACTCAGTACACAAGGGACAAAGGGGAAGAGAGAATTTTTTATTCTTTCTGAATAAGCTGTTCCTTTTTAAAGCAACATTACCTTTTGATAAAATTTAAGTTTTACGTATATTTTAAAGGATCAAAAGATGTCTTCCCTTTTAACTTACTGGCAGTGTCCTCAAGACTTTAGGGCTGGTTGGTGCAAGCAGGGTGTGTTGGGTGGACCCCTTGTTCATAATCTGAGAGGCCAAGATTGGCGCCTTTCCAGAAGCCACTCCCTTTATTGATTTCTGGCAGCTGCGTGAGTAGGGATCTGGCTATTGAAGCCCACATAAGGGCCAGGGCAGGAGAAAAATCAGGCTCCTTCGATCTTGCCTTTTTAACACGATATATACAAGGTGGGGCAAAAGTAGGTTTACAGTTGTGAGTATGTGAAACAGTCTATTCTTGTATTATTATTTATTTATTATTGTATTATTTTCCATATGAACCACTGCAAACCTACCTTTGCCCCACCCTGTGAAGTGTGATGTTCTGGAACTAGCACCGGCCTGGAATTTAGGCCTCAATTCAATTTCCAATTTTCCTATTGATGGCAGCATAACTCAATTTTGGTTTTCCTTTTTTAAAATAGTTTTTTAATTGATTTTTTTTTTTTTTTTTAAAGAGAGAGGCATCGATTTGTTATTCTACTTATTTAGGCATTCATTGGTTGCTTCTTGTATGTGCTTTGCCCAGAGATTGAATCCACAACTTTGGTGTGTTGGACATCACTCTATAACCAAACGAGCTACCCAGCCAGGGCTTGGTTTTTCTTTTTCTCCCTCTCTCCCTCCCCCTCCTCACTACATGCATGCACATGCATGTACACACACCAGACACACCTTATATAAAAGTATGTTTTCCGCCTTCCATTGCTCTTCTGAGGATAAGATGACCTCTGAAATATTTGATGTGTGCTCATCATGCATTGAAAAGTGTTTTTGGCCTGGATTACAATAATGCATGAAGGAACTCTTTCCTTCTCTCAGAGAGAGCTCATAGCCTGGTAAGAGCAATGGACTTAGGATAGAAATGTTACAAATGAGACAGGTGCTGGGCTGGGCTGTGCTCAAAGGGCCTTTGGAGCTTGGGTGGGGGGGAGATTGAAGAGGATATGGGAGGCTAAATGGTGATAGAAGGAGACTTGGGGTGGTGAAAAGATACTACAATATAGAGATGATTTATTATAGAATTATACACCTGAAACCTATATAATTTTATTAACCGATGTCATCCCAGTAAGTTCAATTTTTTATAAAAAGGTCTTGGAGCACAGAGCAGGGTCTGTGAAGCCTCACTATTTGGCAGTGGTGGATGCAGCCAGTTGTTGCAAACATGTAGATGAGTGGGCCTCATCAGGATCAAAAGCAGTGTCGCAGATGTTACCTGTTACTCTCCTAAGCATATGCTTCCTCTTCTGGATGCCTCACACTTCAAATTCGGTGTTATAATGGAATGCTGCCCAGTGTCCTATAGCCACCTACAAGAAATAAAGGAGTAGGTATTCTTCTGTCTTTCCTGGAACCTAAAACTTGTAGACACCCGTAGATGAAACAGGCATAGAGAAGACCTTAGGACGTGTGGAGGCAAGAAGTACGAATTCAGCCCTCACTGGTGTGGTTCAGTGGATTGAGCGCTGGCCTGTGAACCAAAGAGTTGCTGGTTCAATTCCCAGTCAGGGCACATGCCTGGGTTGTGGGCCAGGTCCCCAGTAGGGGTGCTCAAGAGGCAGCCACACATTGCTGTTTCCCTCTGCTCCCTACCTTCCCCTCTCTAAAAATAAAGAAATAAAATATTTTTTAAATAGTGGAAATTCAGGAGTCTAACTGGAGTCTACATATTCCATCTTTCCTGCCTTAACCTCTGTGGTTCTCTGCAGATAATGGCACCTGGACACAGCTGTGGCTCGTCTCAGACTATCACGAGCATGGCTCCCTGTTCGATTATCTGAACCGGTACACAGTGACGATCGAGGGGATGATTAAGCTGGCCTTGTCTGCTGCCAGCGGGCTTGCACACCTGCACATGGAGATCGTGGGCACCCAAGGTGAGTGGGCCCAGCCGAGGAGCAGTGACGTTGAGTAGGCTTTAAAACCTTGTACTATCCTGATTTAGTTGCCAGAACTCCTTTTTACTGAGAAAGTTGGAGCTGGGCCTCAGGGACTCTAGTCTAATCTAAAGGAGAGAGGTTTGAACTTCACTTGAATGAAAACAAGAGGATTTCCAGAGGGTTCTTGCCACTTGTCTCCGAACTCCCTCAGGGACTGTAGTGGAGCTGTTCTTTCCATGGCCTGGCATAGTTGTTGGATGGTGTTCATTGAGTAATCATCTCAGAAGCCCACAGTGCACATGGAACTGAGAAGATAAAAAAAAAAAAACTCATGCGACAGGAGCATCAGTTCAGTAATTTCACACTTTCGTTGTTGGGGGCAGCTGACTTACAAAGACTGCTTGGTGGATTTAGACCCTCCGCTTTGCTAACCTAGGAAGGTATTCCTGGAGGGAAAGACTTGAGCATCCCTGCTTATTGACCGAAACATCAGCTCTTTGGGATATCCTGGATCTTGTTAGGGTGACAGGGTGTGTTCCCTGATGCCTGATTGACCAGGGCAATAGCACTAGCTGGCAGAAAATGAGCCATTAAAGTTTGGTCCTGTTCCTAGCCTCTGCAGTGATACTAGCAGTCCTTACTAATTGATTGGTGATTTTGGTTGATTCTAAGAGTCTAGCCAACACAGCAGTATCTCTCTGAATTCCTCAGCACTTCACTACTGAGCATATTTGTTAGGGAAGGTGAGTAGTAGTATTAATAGTAATGTTAGCTAATACGCATGCTCTTCTAAGCTCATCACTTAGCCTACATCAATGCATTTAATCCTCACAACATTCCCATGAATTAAATACTGGTGTTAGTCTTGTTTTATGGATGAGAAGACAAAGGTATTGATGGGTTAAGTCGCTTTTCCAGGGTTCCTGGGTTAGTAGGAGGAAAAGCCAGGACTTGAATCCATGCGGCCTTCCTAACATTCACTGTGTTTGCAGACTCTTATAATATTTTTACTACCTTTCTTTAAAGATCGCTGTTTTTATCTCTGCCAGGGAAGCCTGGAATTGCTCATCGAGACTTAAAGTCAAAGAACATCCTAGTGAAGAAAAACGGCATGTGTGCCATTGCAGACCTGGGCCTGGCCGTCCGTCACGATGCTGTCACTGACACCATTGACATTGCCCCAAACCAGAGGGTGGGAACCAAACGGTAGGAAGGCCCTGGGCCTCTGTCCTTGCCCTGTGCCTATAGCGAGGAGCCCGTGTGTGCCTCTCCCCACTGTGCAGGGGGAGGTGTAGAAAAAGGAGGTGTGGTCCAGGCTCTCAGATGACTGAAATTTGAACACCCACTCCTGGCACTGGAAGGCTACACAGTTATATCTAACAGATATATAAGCACCAAGAGCACAGCTCCATAGAACTGTATACATGTAGGTGTTGGTAGTATTGGGCAGGGGAAGCAGTGGAGAAGAGAATCTGGAGCAAGGATTGGGAGTGGGGTGGGCACCAGGCCTGCCTTGGGGGAGAGGGGAGTTGCTGTCCAGAGGGGTGGCTTGTGCAGAGACCCTCCAGGAGGCAGAGAGCATGTTTGCTCTGGGTTTAGAGAGCAGGTTTGGCAAGCTGGAGCAGAGGTGATCCAGAGCAGAGATTCGAGTGCCCTGACGATTACGGGCCTGCTCCCTGCTTCCTGCAGAAGTGAAGTAAGGAGTAAGGAATTATGATTGCAGATTGATTATACAAGTCGGAAATGGAACTTTTTTTTTTAAAGATTTTATTTATTTACTTTTAGAGAGAGGGGAAGGGAAGGAGAAAGAGAGGGAGAGAAACAGATATGCGAGAGATTATCAGTAGGTTGCCTCTCACATGCCCCCACCTGGGGACCTGGCCCGCAACCCAGGCATGTGCCCTGACTGGAAATCGAACTGGCAACCTCTTGGTTTGCAGGCTGGCACTCAATCCACTGAGCCACACGAGCCAGGGTAGAGCTGCCTTTTAATAGGAAGGAATCTGAATGAATTTAACTAAGTTTCTTTACTGCTTTTTCCCTTTGAGCTGAAGGAATGAATGACGCAGGCCCCAAAATGTGAGGCCTGGGATGATCCCATGATTTGAGAGAAAAAGAGAGAGAGAGAGAGAGAGAGAGAGAGAAGATTACTAATTAGCTGAGGGGGCTTTGATGGCTATCTAGAATTAATTTTCTTATACCTGTAATCAAGTAAGATGAAAAAAAAGTGCAGAATGAAATTTAAACTGGACCCATCATTGTGACTATATTTAATAAAGTTCAAGACCCCAGTAGTAACTAGATATCATGTATTATTGCCCTGTGACCCCTGATACAAGTACTTCTGCCAAGAAACCAAAACATGCTAAAAATGATGGTTGAAAAGTAGAGGTGCAAATAAGAGTAGCCTGTGATACTGACCAAACATATGCTGAAGAATTTAGATTCAAATCCAAAACACATGGGAGTTTGCAATAAAAGAATTGACTAGTTTCTCCTCCCCAAGGGGCTTTTTTGGGGTGATGCTCGCCTACTTTCAGAGGGCCCCTGAGTCAATACTTTGATCTAAGGAGAGAGGTCATCTTTTGTTAATGTGTGATCGTGTTTCCTTTGCTGTTGCAGATACATGGCCCCTGAAGTACTTGATGAAACCATTAACATGAAGCACTTTGACTCCTTTAAATGTGCTGATATCTATGCCCTAGGGCTGGTATATTGGGAGATTGCTCGAAGATGCAATTCTGGAGGTACGATCCTTTTCTGCCTTCTCTTGCTCCTGCCTCCCAGTCAAGGGTGCTGGTGTTCTGCCTCCTTTCTTTTCACAACCTGTCAGATGCCTTGTGACAGAGCCCTTCAGTCACCCTCAGAGTCCTTATCAATATGAGTGAACCTTGGAGGTAGCTGTGCTAAGGGTGTGTTTATTATTCTTTGGACCAGCTTCTAAAATAGTGTTTTACACTGTGGTAACCATTCCAAAGGCTTCTCTTTTTGGAGCATATTGTTTTTATTGGTCATTGGAGGTTGGGAAAGTCCTAGACAGAAAGAGCATGGGACTTCATGCAGGGTTCTCCTTTATACAGGAGGCGTCACGCACTGCTACACCAGCTCTCGAGCCACGTTCCTGGGAGCATGGGTTTCACTGATAAATTAATAGTGGTCATTTCTCAATTTGTAGGAGAAAGCTTACCAATGTGTAGAATTTTCTCAAAATGATTTTTTTCTTTTATTTTTTTCTTAAATCTTTGGAATTTGCAACTGCTCACTCATGTAAGAATCCAGTAAAAAGTAGTGCCCGATTTAGCAGAGAACATTTTATCATCAGGTTAGTATATCAGTATTTTACAATAACTTTCAAGTATTCTGCTATGAAGTCAAGTTCAAGAACCACTAGAGCCCTGACTGGTGTGGCTCAGTGGACTGAGCACCAACCTGTGAACTGAAAGGTGGCTGGTTCAATTCCCAGCCAGGGCACATGCCTGAGTTGCTGGCCAGTTTGGGTGGGTATGAGGGGCAGCCAGTCGATGTATCACTCACACACTGATGTTTCTCTCCTTCTCCTTTTCCCTCCCTTCACCTCTCTGTGAAAGTAAATAAATAAAATCTTTTTAAAGAATTACACTTTTAAAAAACCTTGGAATGCTATATATAATATTTTTTAAAATATTATATATAGCCCTCATCCATTTATCTCTAATGTAAGAAATTCCAAGTCAATGGAAATGAAATGAAATGAAATTAATTAAAAAGAACAGGTGCCCTGGCCAGTGTGGCTCAGTTGGTTGGAAGGTTGTCCTGTAACCGAAAGGTGGTGGGTTTGATGCCCAGTCAGGGCACATGCCTGGGTTGCAGGTTCAATCCCCCATCAGGGCTCAGCTATGTGTAACCCCCAGTCCGGACATGTATGATCCCCAGCCTAGGTGCCTATCCCCATTCCAGGTGTGTACAGGAGACAACCGGTTGATGCCTTTCTCTCGTATAAAAGTTTCCCTCCCTCCCTCTCTCTAAAAAAAATGAAAAAAATGTTCTCAGGTGAGGTTAAAAAAAGTAGAACAGGTGAGTCTTCCAGCCTAACCCCTTTCGGTATTACTCTCTTTTTCCATCTATGATATGTTGGGTGAGATGCAAGTTGTGGAGCAGGCACCCAGGTTTTATTCATAGAATTGCATAACTTAGATTCTGATCCTATGTACAGAAAACATTAAGAAAAATCTTGCTACACAAGTCTTAAATTGAGTAAGTTAACTTATCCTTCCTCATATTTTTCAGAAATTGGGGCTTAGTGTATAATAATAATGCCGGCATTCACCACTTGTTATATATAAACTCAGTTAATATGTACTGCAAACTATAAAGTGGGTACTACTGTTGCCACCACTTTGCAGATGAAGAAGGTCCCAGAGAGAGAAGGTAGTTTGCCCAAGGTCACACAGCTAATGAAATAGGATCCAGACTCTGGGAGACTGAGGCCAGAGCTTACGCTCTGAACTACCCCTTAGGTAACTACCAATTCAGGCTCTCCTGTTAGCTCAGGACAGCAGAATTTTTCCTAGAAAAAGGCTTGAGAAGGTTACATTGGATTTTTTAATTAATTTTTTTATTATGGAAAATATCAATTTGTAGTTCTAAAAGATAAAGACTTCAAAAATATAATACTCTTATTGCACTTTAAAAAACGAGCATTAATTCTTAATATCACTTAACAACAGTTGCTGGTGAGGTTTCCCCAATTTTCTCCTAATTTCCTTTTTAAACAGTTTCTTCAAAATCAGTTGAAATAATGTTCATTCACTGCAATTGATTGATGCACCTCCTAGGTCTCATATAATCTACAGGTTTCATCTCCATTTTTTTCCCCACCGTTTTTTAATTGGAGAATTCAGTCATTTGTCCTGTCAATTCTCCTGTTTGCTCCTTCATGGAGTTCGCATGTTTTACTGTTCCTGTGAATTTCCTATAATAGTTATATTTAATGACTAAAATAGTGTGTGTGTGTGTGTGTGTGTGTGTATATATATATATGTATATTTTTCCCCCAAAATCTTTCTGTTACAAGGCACATAATGCTCGTTCTTATTTTGTGGGCCTAACAGCCATCAATGATCATTGTCCAAATCCAAATTCATTAGAGGTTGAAAAATGACAATAATTTGATTCTGTCGCTCTTCAGGCATTAGCTAGATTTCTTCTTGAAAGAAACTTCCCCTAATTGCCTCTTTGGTTACCAAAATGTATAGTTTGAATAAGAAAGGCAGGAAAAATACTTGATTTCCATTTATTTACCATTTATCAAAATAATGAGTTATCTGTCATCTTACAAAGGTGACTGTGGTTTGTGGGTTTTTTTGTTGTTTAGTATCACTATGAAGTAGTGGAGGGTTTTTTTTTTTAACTGGTGGGTTTTACTTTTATTTATTTGTTCATTTTTTAATCCTCACCTGAGGGCACTTTTTCATTGCTTCTAGAGAGAGAGGAAAGGGGGCGGGGGGGAGAAACATTGATGTGAGAGAGAAACAAGAATTGGCCGCCTTCTGATACACGCCCAGACTGGGGACCACACCGGCGACTTTTCAGTCTATGGGATGGCACTCCAGCCGAGCCGCATGGGCCAGGGCTGAGCTGATGGATTTGAAATATTTGTTTCCATTGAAGTTAGTCTTGCTGTTGCATAAATGTTCTCATCTTCAGCTAGCTGGGAGCGTTTCAGGTTGGTGCCTTTTGACTTGACCTCAGTAGTCTTTGGTAGTTTCCTTGCTTTTTGGTATGAAAAAGTTGTTCCTGGCTAACCTTCTGTATGTCGTCCCACACCTGGATCAGCCAAGCTCTCCAAGGAGCCATGTTCCCTCTTAGTGGGATGTGTTGTTGGCAGACCACAGTGGGGTGGTTCTCACTGGCTTTTGAGTAATCTGTTCCTTCTGTTGGTAAGCTCGGTGGATATTTTCTTTTTTTCCAGGAGTCCATGAAGAATATCAGCTGCCATATTATGACTTAGTGCCCTCTGACCCTTCCATTGAGGAAATGCGAAAGGTTGTATGTGACCAGAAGCTGCGTCCCAACATCCCCAACTGGTGGCAGAGTTATGAGGTAGGAAGCTCCCCTACCTCCTCCTGCTTTTCCATCTGTGGGATGTCTCTGCCTCACCTGACAATGGGCCCAACCCCCAGGGCCACCCCTTGAGTGTGTCAGTTACGATATGCCACTGTGCTATTTTATACTAAGCCCTGAGGGGCCACAGTCCCTTGTCCAGGGCACTGTAGGGTCCCCTTTGGAATTGACAGCCGACAAGAAAATGACTTGGCCCCCAGGACAGAGATAAGATAGGTGATCTAAGAGAGACAGGAGCAAAAACCTAGAGGAGGCCTTTAGACCTGTCTAACTAGAAAGATGGCTCTGGAGCCACAGGGGCAAGCCCGGGCCTGTGGCCCAGTGAAGAAGAGGCCTTCGTGAAGGGGGTAGAAGAATGAGGGACAGGACTCAGCAAGTGCATGTTTGTGAGGGAGGCGGCCTAACAGCTCAGAAGAAGGGAGGAGGATGTGGAGCGTTTGAATTTGGGACAGATGGCAGATAAAGTGAGGAGGGGACATTTGGTAGAAAGAGTCGAAATGAGGACAAATTTATGTCACGGGTAACTAATAAACAGAGCTCTGGGGTCTTCGAGCCTTTGCTGGGGATGGGTCTTCCTGGCTCAGTGCGCACGCGCCTTTTTCCCTCGCAGCTCTGCTTCTCAGGAGTGCAACCACTAGAGGGCATTTTCTCGTTGATGAACAAAATTAGTTCACAGTTTAGGCGGATGCCCTCTTGTTCCATGATAGAGCAGCATTTTCCAAAACGTGCCTTGGAACCCCGGGTTGGATTTACTTCAGAGGATGAGTGTGAGGCTGGAAGAGCTGCTTTTGCTGCCCTGCCCCACTCTGTTCAGTCAGTGCTGTTCATGTGTTGGGACTGCTTAGGGGAGAGGGTCCCACTGCTAAAAGGAATTTTGGAAACAACTAGCTTAGGGCAGCAGTAAGGGAGCTTCGTGGCCTCAGTAACCAGCGGCCGCCCATAGGTGACCTTCTGTGTCACCTCCTGGCCTGACTCTGGTGGCTGCCTGTGTCGTCCAGGCAATGGCAATGCCTCTGACAAGATTGCTTTCAGGGGCCGGTCTCCTGCCGCTTCACCACCCTCCATCTCTGCCCGCGGACCGTGAGAGTGTTGTAGGGGAGGGGGGCCGGCCCTGAGTGGGTCTGCCCACGGCCAGCCAGTAGCATCTGGGTTCTTGACTTTGTGCAGGGAAGATTCACGACATGAATCCAGGTGACTTGGAGAGGATGTTTATTAAAGCTGGGGACAGTGAAACAAGGACGGGCCTAGGACAGAAGAAGCAACAGGAGAGAGACTCGGTGGGGCTGCTTTGGTTCTCTGGAAATGTTAATTGGAGAAGAAATGAGCGCAGGTGGGGCTGTGTGGACTTACTGAGATGAAAAGTCAGAGAGACAGAATGGGCCGAGGCGGGGCTGCTGTCGGCGCACTGGGAGGTCAGAGGAAAGGGAGCCCTGGAGCCAGGGTCCGGCTCAGCACGGGTCAGCTGCCTCTGCCATCGCTCCCCTGGCTGCAAGTCTTGTGGGGACCCTTAGAGTTGGAGGAGCATGTGCCTTCGGGGGAGGGAAAGTGTGGGTGTGCTCTGGGAGGGCGAGCAGGCTGCTCCTTTGTCTTGGGGATTTTACAGGCTGGGAGCTCGGGGTTTCGGCAGAATATTCATCAGCTATTCCAGGTGTGCCCTTTCACGCTCCTGGTTTCCACTGACTGGTCAGCACAGGCAGGAGGTCGTTAGTCATTGCAGCTGGTCCTGACTTTGCTGGCCTGATTTTGCTGTTTTTCTGGGCCTGGAGCCCAGAATACAACTGAGGCCTAGATGTTATTTCTAAAGAGGAAGCCTTCTGTATCTGGCTGTAAATTACTCGGCCCGTTTGTTCAGCTGTCTGCCTCAGTTTCCCTATTCCACTTGCCAAGGAGTTTTCCCAGCTTCTTTCTCTCGTGCCTCGAGGCTACAGCCAGGTGTATGCAGGGACCAAAGTGTGTCCCTGGTTTATATACTTTTTAAAAGAACAGTTAGTGTACAGTCGTGAGAATGGATTCTCAAACCTGACAAATGATTTTCAGATCACAGGCCATTGCTGGTATTTTTTTCTCTTTCTTTCTTTCTTTTTTTTTTTTTTTAAGATTTTATTTATTTATTTTTAGAGAAAGGGAGGGAGAAAAGAGGAGAGAAACATCAATATGTGGGTGCCTCTCGTGCGCTCCCAACTCTCCTGGGTCATGCAATGCAGGCATGTGCCCTGCCTAGGAATCGAACCAGTAAGTAACCCTTTGGTTCACAGGCTGGCGCTCAGTCCACTGAGCCACATCAGTGAGGGCAGTTGCTAGTATTTCTTTCAAGATTACCCAGATGATGGGGGGTGGCTGGCCATACTTGCAGAGCATGTCTCTCCTCTCCAGGCTAAAAGTTTTCTCCATTTGCCTGCACAGCCTGGCCCCTAAGGAAGGGCAACCTAAGGGGAGAGGGAAGTTTGCAAAGTGTTTCCCTAGGGTCAGAAAGGGAGAAGAGATTCTGACACACATGGCACTGAGAAATGAGGAGGATGGGGACCAGAAAGGCTTCCATCAGGAAGGGTCAAACTGATGTCCTCTGGGTCTCTGTGCAGGCGTTGCGAGTGATGGGGAAGATGATGCGAGAGTGCTGGTACGCCAACGGCGCAGCCCGCCTGACTGCTCTGCGCATAAAGAAGACCCTCTCCCAGCTCAGCGTGCAGGAAGATGTGAAGATCTAACCCTGCTTTCCTCCCCCTACATGCAACCCTGGGCAGCGAGGACTACACAGAGCTGCCATGTTGAGCGTACGATGGAGGCCTACCTCTCGTTTCTGCCCAGCCCTCTGTGGCCAGAAGCTCTGGTCCAAAAGAGGGACAGAGCCCAGGAGACCCACTCACTCCCATGTTGGGTTTGAGACACAGACACCTTTTATACTTACCTCCTAGTGGCATGGAGACTCTGAGAGCGAATGGTGTGGAGAACTCGGTGCCACAACTCGAACTGGTTGTAGTGGGAAGTCCCGCCAAACCTGGTGCATCTGGTGGATGCCAGGAGTGGTGACGGGTGGCCTGGGAGGGCCCAGGTGAACCTGAGCGTCGCCAGTGCTAAGCAGCACTGAAGGTTCCCGCCAGGGACCAACCCCAGCACACCGAGGTGGCCCAGGGGAACCAGAAGCGCAGCCCTCTCGCAGGCAGCTCCGGGCCCACGCTCCACCCTCGTGCAGATGTCTGGAGGAACTGCCAGCGGAGACGGAATCTGCCGCCTGTCTGTCCAGCTGTGTGTGCATGTGCCGAGGTGCGTCCCCTGTTGTGCCTGGTCCGTGCCATGCCCTTACATACGTGTGTGCGTGCGTGCGTGCGTGCGTGTGTGCGTGTGTGTGTGTGTGTGTCTGTAGGTGCGTACGTCCCTGCTTGAGCTTTCTGTGCATGTGCAGGTCTGGGGTGTTTGTCATGCCGTCTCTGCGTGCTGGTGCCTCTGTTCAGTAGTGAGCAGTGTCTTGTTTCCCAGTGCCCTTCCCAGGGGTCTCCCTCCCCGCCCCTCCCCCGAACTCTGAGCCACGGCAGTCCTCCTTTCCCATCTTGCATCCACACCACTCTCCTCCCCCATTTCAGACTGTGGAACCAAAGCTGGCCCAGTTGTCCACGGCAGGCGAGGCTTTCGGGTCCGTGTGTGAGGGAGGGGCGGGGTGGGCAGGGAAAGCATCCGGGCGTATGTCTCGGGTGCTGTGGTCAGCTGCACCCGTGGGAAATGAGCCAGCCCAGGGCATCGTCCTCAGCAGCATCAAGGAGGGGCCAAGGAATTTGAAGCCCAAATCTGGGGACTCAGATTGGAATGTCACATCTGTCTTTCATGTCCCAGATTCTGGAAACAGCAGTGTATATTTTTGGTGGTGGTGGGTTTAGGGTGGGGAAGGGAAGTGGGGACAAGAAGTGGGGAGGGAGTTAGGGGTGGGAGGGAGGCATCTGCATGGGTCTTTTACGGGATTATCCGATCCTGGTGGAGGGAAGATATGAGGCTCACACCCACTTCAGGGGCCCTGCTAAAGGGGAAAGCCTGAGCCGAATCGCATTTAACCTGCGTGTAGTATTTAACGACGTCTAGAAGCACGGTTGTGGGTGGTGGTTTGGTCAGCGTATCTTAGCTATATAATAACTTTGAAGCCATAACTTTTAACTGGAGTGGTTTTTTTTTGTTGTTTTTTAATTTTATTGGGAGGGTCTAGATTTTAACTTTTTTTAATATTAAGTTTTTATAAAAGGAAAACCATCTCTATGTGATGATTACCTCTCAATCTATTTGTTTTTAAAGAAATCCCTACAAAAACAACCACAAAAAAATAGTTCAATCAAACGCACATAGCTCAATCACACTGGAAATGTCTGTCCCTGTACCTGAGCCTGTTCCCACTCTGCGGGGGAGGGTCTCTGCCTGCCCTGGGGCTCAGCCTCTCCTGCGTTGTGCCCCGCCCCCAGGCCCAGGAGTGGTTTCTGGGCCAGGGCCCTAGCCTTCTGTGCATTGTCCAGCTGGTTGCACCTTCTCCCCCTCCAGGCATTTACTCTGCACTGTTGAGTGCCTGGTGGGTGCCAGGCACTGTGCTAAGTGCTGGGAATATAGCTGTGAATAAGGCTTGGGTCCTGTTTTTGGAGCACTGAAGAAGGACCTGATCCAAGTTAGTGGGCGCCTGTTTTGAGACCAGAAGTTTTCATATAGGAGTTGGTTCTGAGAGCCTTTTGAGCCTGGAATGATTGCTCTTACAGAAGACCACTGAAGAGCAAGCGTGCCCCCCGCGCCAAAGAGACTCGTGGGGGGCATGAGAGCCCAATCACTGCGAGCATTCAGAGCTCCCTTCCTGCCCCAAGGGGAGCACGTTATGGATGCAGCTTCACAGCACCCCTGCCTCCAGCCCAGCGATTCTCTGCCAAAGCTTGTGGAGGACAGGGAGAGCCCTCTCCCTGCTTACGTGTTTCCCTGATGCCCCCGGCCTTTCTATTTATTTTCCTGATGTATTGCCTCTTTCCTTGTGTTAAAGGAGATCTTCCCCTAACTATTTAGGCCAATTTACTGGCTGTTGATTAATTGCCCTTGAATACCAATTGTGTCATGGGGGACCTCCTTTCCCCACCCCGCTGATCCCTCACCTCTCCGCCCTGCAGCAGAACCTGGCGGGTTCTAAGTGGTAATGGGACTTAGACTCCTGTGCCGTCACAACCAGCCTCTAGGATCTGCCAACACTCCTCAACCCAGGGACTCCCAAGCCACTAGCCTACTCCCTCGGTGGCCCGTCTGTCCTCACCACACATGTGGTCCAGCCCTTCCACCCTTGGGGAAGACTGAGCAGGTTTTTGGGAAGCTCCCCCCCTCCCCCCCGCACCGCTCTTAACACTGAGTTAGGGGTTAGAGAGCTGGGGAGAAACTACAGCCGAAGCCGTGGTGTTTGGCCCCCTGGGGCCAACCCTGATCCTTAGGGCTACCTGCACCTCTGGATTCTGGATTCACAGACCAAGTCCAAGCCCGTTCTTTTGTCGCCGTCAAGGCCCCTGAACGGCATTCTCGGTACTTCTGTTTGTTTTTGTACATTTTATTAGAAAGGACTGTAAATTAGCCACTTAGACACTTTACCTCTTCAGTATGCAAATGTAAATAAGTTGTAATATAGGAAATCTTTTGTTTTAATATAAGAATGAGCCTGTCCAATTTCTGCTGTACATTATTAAAGTTTTATTCACAGAGCTGTTCTGGTGTCATCTGTTTGCCACCTGCGGACTGCGCCCAGCTGTAGTTGGGGGAGCTGGGCATGGCCGCATGTTCTCAGGTAGTATTTCCACCTTCCCACTTGGCTGGGGCATGGGGTCAGCACCAGGCACAGCAGGTCCCAGTGCGAGGAGGAGCTGATCTCTTCACGTCAGGCCCCCTGAGACACTTCCTCTGCGTTTTGTGGAGAGAGGAGAGCCTGGCATGTGAGGGTGCTGAAGACACCGAATGCCTTTTCTTGGGTTTTGTGTTTGTTTTATAGCATTTTTCTCTTTAGACGAACGAAGGTCTCGATCCTGCTTAGTCACAAGCCGCGGAGTGTTGAAAACAGGCTCAGTGTTTTCTTCCCCCTCCTAAACTGGCGTATAAATGTGCATCTGGGGATGCTTAGGTGGCTTTGAGGTGGGAGTCTCCAGTGGTTCCCCTGGCATTTTCAACGTGTGGGCGTCTGTGAATGTCTCTTTCTAGGCTGAGGAAACCCGGGATAAAAGTCCTAGCGTCACAAAATTTCATGTGTGTAGGTGGGACCCTAGAGGTCACCTAGTCACTCCCCCATCACTCACTTGACTCCCCACAGCATCCCTGCCACACGGTGTGGGCCACGTGGTTCCGTGCCTCCTGCTGTGGCACCTGGGAGCACAACTTCCACCTGCAGGTGTCTGCTGTGCAGAAAGCTCTTCCTTAGGCAGAACCCGGCAGCCTCCGTGTGACTGCTACCCAGAGGTGGCTCAGAGCAGCTTTTTCTCTTCCATATAAGGTCCCTGGAAATACTTGAAGGCAGCTGTCGGGTTATCATGAATTTGGCAAAGCTGAGAATTTCTTCAGTTAATATTAGCAAATACGGAAAACTTACTGTGTGCTAAGCAATGTGCCAAAATCTGCTTTATGTATGTTAATTGCTTTAATCCTAAAACAGTGTTTGAGGTGGGTGGTATTGTCCTCTCTTCATGGATTAGGAAACACGGTTAGAGTACTCAAGTAAATTGTCAAATCAAATGAACGTAGCTCACAGATGGAAAAGACCTTGGGTTTAGGATGTGTGACCACAGGCTGCAGCCCTTTAGCCTTTGCACCATCCAGCCTCTACGTTCAGTGTTCTTACCCCGTGCTAGCTGCTCTCCACTGAACCTAGCCAGAGCCCGGGGCCAGGACAGGCAGGTGACATTTCATGTAGGCATCGACTGACAGCACAGGCTGGAAGAAGGATCCCAGACTCTGCTTGACACCTGCGGGTCCCATCCCATGGCTGCATCTCGTGTCTTGGGTTGAGTAAAATCCAGCCACCTTCTCCATCCTGGATAAGGGAAGGAACTCAAGTGTAGGACATCATATGTTTACCCTGTTAAATTTTACCATCGAACCTGCCCATTGCTCCAGCCTCTCAATGTTTTAAAATTCTGTTATCCACACTTTTCCACTGTTCTCCCATCTGAGACTGTTGGGCTGGAGAAAATCGAGTAATTTACCTTTAGAAATTGGCTTTAAGTTTGTCATATATCGCCATAACCCAGATTAGCTGCTAATTGTCCTTGGACCCCGGTCATAATTCTTTGATGCACAAAGGGAACAGCAGAAGCCCAGGTAGCTTGCTGATGTGGCAAGATACGGCTTCTGCACCTCTTTGATGTACCTCTCTGTTGGAAGGAAAGGTGAAATGGCCTGTAGCTAATCTCAAGCCAGTTCAAAAGAGTCATCTTGCAGGCATGGACCTATAATTCACTAGGCTGTGGATTGCAGGGTCAGCTTCATTCTGGAAGTCAGAGTGCCAACCATTCTGGCACCTCTTCATGTGCCCTTGAAGGTTATGAACAGTATCTCACCTTTATAAGGCCCAATACAGGAGACTTGCATTCATTTGGTGTGTCACTGGGTTTTTGTTACACACATTTTAAATCTCCGTTCCCCCAGGCCATGTCTTTGGATTGCCGCAGTCTGGAAAACACGCTTGCTCAACATAGCCCAAACAAAATCAGTGGTGCAGCAGCATTCAAGGGACACTCAGGAACACGTGAGGGGCACAAAAAGAAGGTGGAAGTTTGGGATCCAGCCTGGAATGGTGTATTAAGGTTCTCCAGAGAAAGAATAAGATGGATAAATAGATATTTTAAGGAATCGACTCGTGATTGTGGGGGTTGGCAAATCTGAAATCAGGCAGACAAACTAGAAAGCAAGCAAAAAACTGATGTTGCAATCTTGTGTCCGGAGGCAGAATTCCTTTTTCTTCAAGGGACCTCAGCCTTCGAAGGCTTTCAACTGATTGATTGGGACCCATCCACATTTAGAAGGTAATCTGCTTTACGGAAACTACTGATTTAAATGCTTGTCACATCTAAAACATACCTTTACAGCAACTTCTAGATTGGTGTTTGACCAAACTGGCATCATACCCAACTGAAAGCCGGTGGGCATCCCATGATTAGACGGGATGGGATTTAAGGTATATGGCAGGTAGCCCTGAGTCTGTCTGGGAATGCTCCTTGGAAGCCACGGGTGGGAACTAATAGGGTAGGAAGGTTTAAGGACCAACTTGATAGACTAGACTCTAAATAGATTATTATTAAATAAATGTTTGTTGAGCAACCTTGGTATGTAGAGCAGTAGGCAGAATGAACCATCTGGTCCCTGCTCTTCGGGACAGAGGATTTGTACAGAGAGAACAAAAAGGCAGACTTCGGCAAGTTCCATTACAGAGCAGTACGTAATGTGTGGTGGAAGCACAGATGAGGTGCCTAAGGAAACAGAGGACTGGTCCCTCCCTTCCAGGGACGTACCTGGTGAAACAGACTAGTAAATAGGTAACGACAATGGGTTGAGGAAAGTGCGATGAGAGGGGTAGACACGGAATGCTCTGGGAGCATCAGACAGACGAGAGGTTGGGGTCAACAGAGGTGACATCTCATCTGTTTTGGAGTAGACATTGGCCTGCTGACTGAGAAGGGAAGGGGGTTTCAGTCGAAAGGAGTATGTCACCATTCAAAAACCACAAATGTTCAGCATGGCTGAAGGAAGGGAGTCCAGGGCGGGTGCAATGAAGGAGTCTGTTGGAGCTGTCACGTGCTGAGAAGTCAAGACTTCATCCTGGGGACCACCAATGCCATCATTTCCCTTGTGACAGGTGCTAATCTATCGGTAATGTTTCCTCTTGAGTCTAGACTTGGTCTCCAAATTCTTCTCAACAGTATGCTTATGTGGAATTGTCCCATAAGACCTCTTTGTCATTCCTAATGGAGGGAATAGACCCTCGCTGATGTGGCTCAGTGGATTGAATGCCAGCCTGTGAACCAAAAGGTTGCTGGTTGGATTCCCAGTGCAGGGCACATGCCTGGATTGCAGGCCTAGTCCCTGGTAGAGGGCGCGTAAGATACAACCACACACTGATGTTTCTCTCCCTCTCTCCCTCCCTTCCCCTCTCTAAAAATAAATAAAATCTTTAAAAAAAAAAAAAAGCCACGTTTTAAGCAAGGGAGTGACGTGATCCTCTACGTGTTTGGGGACAATCCCAGCGCTGACGTCAGGAGGCAACTGCAGTGGTGGTAGCGGGAACAGCTGGAAGAAAGGGGGGCCTGTTGGTAGAAGGAACAGATTTGGGGCATGAGCCAGTGCAAACAGGGAGGGAAAGAGGGGAGCTGGCCAGTTCACAATAAAGAGAAGAATCTTAGCCTGGTGCACAACGCTGTCCCCTGGAAGAGGGAACCAGGGATGAACTCCCAGAGCAGCTGTGTTTGCCAAGGGGACGCACATCTGGGGAACCTGGGGTCCTAAGAGCTGTTACTTTCTGTCCTAGCTGTACCTGTTTGGAAATGAAGCAGGGTAAAATAATGCCTACCCTCTGTCCTAGGAGCGGTACTGTAAGGAAACCGGAGGGGTAGCCCTCTCTTCCCTCTACCGGTCTACCTCATTCAAGCTGGAGACACCTTGCCACCCCCAACCCAAGAGTGAAGATGGCCCCGGCTTCTGTGTGGGACAAGACTCAAGAGGCCGCCCATATCCAACACAAATAAACTGCCACGCCTGCCTTGCCCCAACTCCCGGGTCCCCTAGAATCAGGTCCGGGCTGTAATGGATCCTCTCCCTGCAGCGAGGCTCCTCCGGTCACCATACCACACACAGACACTATTCCGTGGAAACTGTTGAGCAATAGGAGTCATTCAGAAAAACAACCACTCCCTGCCCATCAGCTGCCCACCGGCTGTCCGTGCCTCCTTCAGTGTCATGCAACTGGGGGCCCAACCCCTCATTCCTGACCAGAGAGCCAGCTGAGACCCAGGCCCTCTCCCTCCCACCTCCCCCACTTAGAAGCAGTGGCAACACCCAGAGAGGAGCGCCAGGGGCAGACCAGTCATCCCGACTAGTTCTGGGATGAAATAACTGCTAGAGCTCTGATACCGAGCAAGGCTCCATGGGGGCCTGGGCTTCAGGAGCTCACCCCCAGTGCCCCAGCGTCCAGAGTGCTTGACCAGGTCACTGGGGCAAGATCCAGCTCTCCCCCATTCCTCCATGGAGACTGTGGACTGTCAAGCGTCTGGGCAAGGGATTGTGCCAAAGAAAAGGGGGTCTTACCTTGGCCTTGTCCATCAGCCGAGGCCCTGCTGTCTCTGCCCCCAGCACAAGCCAAGCCCTCTCCTGAGAGCAGGAGCCAGGGCAGCTGGGGCAAAAGGAAGCCAAACTTGAGCTCATTCTGAAAGCCAGGGACTTGTTCTTGGGAATAAAGTACAGATTGAACGCAGATGTCTGAGGACTCAGAACGATGGGGCTTTTTCAAGGAGGATTCCCCGAGAGAGGAGAAAGGAGGGAGGTGTGTCCCAGTAGGAAGTTGCTGGTGGTGTGCAGCGTGCGCCCTCTAACCCGCCCCAACACCCCCGCAGGAGTTGTGGGGGATCCATAAACCTGCTGGGATTCCAGATGGAGTCCTGGCACCAGCCCTTCAGTCTGATTTGAAGATTTTCCATCAAGAGATGCATGACCACCAGAGGGCACCACTATCCCATGGTGTGACTAGCTGGGCTCCCTGTCCCCTCCCTGGAGAAACTGGGGCGGTCATGTGGAGGAAGCAGGCGCAGGTCTCTGAGCTGCCAGCAGCTGAATTAAACAGCCTCTGGAGTCAGGGACCTGGGACATAGGGGGTTCTAGTGACTCCTGCCACCATCTTTCCCTCCCTGGCCTCAGCTTGCCTCTTCCATTAAATGAGGGCTTGACCACATGGTAACCTTCCAGACCTCGAGGCCTTTTCCACCTCTGAAATTCCAGGATTTGGGGAAATCATGCAGCGAACCTGATAGAAACTGCATCTCCCTGGCCCACCCTTACTCTGGGGTTCTCCAGGGCTCTCTACCTGGCAGGAGGAGGAAACTTGTGTGACCTTCTCCGGTGGTGGTCTCTCACTCGGAGGCAGGGAGGCAGACCGACCTGCCCTCCGAGGGGAAGGCTCTGCCTCCACTTCAGCCTGAAGGAGGAATATCTCAACAGGGTGATCTTACACACAGGTGCTGTGTACCCACGGCATCCACTTCTCCAGGTTTCAGGTAGGGAGGTGTCCGATAGGTAGTCCTGTGGGGTAGGTAGGGTGATGGTCCTCCCCAGAAGAGGTACAGGATGCTCTTTCGTGGCTCCTTTCAGGGATAAGCACAGGAGTGCTGAGAACAGAAACTGCCATCGCCTCTCCTGCCTTTGCTCGCCTCCCCATCCCTACCCCACCCCCCGCACAGATGCCGTCTGTCGGGAGCAGGCAGCAGACGGTCCAGGGGTCCATCTGTGCTAATGCTTCACAATAGAGTCCCATGTTTCCCCACCGACACCCCCTCAGCCCCTCAGCTGATGGCCACTTGGTGGTGCCAAGGGGAGAAATGGGAGGAGGGAGAGGAAGACACTGAGGGAGTTAGTTAGCTCTTCTCTCCTGACAGCCCCCAGGCCCCCCCTGCCCCTCACCCAACAAGCATCTTGCCATCTGGACTTGTGTAATCACTGAGGGATGGAGAAGCACCCCCTCCCACCCACACCTCCTGCAGGGCGGGGGCCCCAGGGGCCTGGGGGTGCGGGGAAGAGACAGACACAGAAAGTCAAGGAGTCTAGGAAGCAAGGAGACTGAGACAGACCCGTGAATGACATAGGAGACAGTCTTTTCTGGCTGCCCCGAGTGGATGTGGCTACTTGTCCCTTTGTACTCATGCCAAGTGTCTAATGCAGCACCTGTGCAGGTACCGCTCCTACCAGACCAAGAGTCTCAGTAACTCCGGAGCCTAGCCAGGACCTGGCAGGGAGCAGGGCTAAATGTAGAGAGAACGAAGAACTGAAGAAGAGAGCATCACATAGTGTTAGATTGCAGGCCCTGGAATCAGGCTGCCTCTGTTCGAATCTCGACTCTGCCACTGAGTAGCCTAGAGCAAGTTACTTAACCCCCCTGGGCCTCAGTTTCCTCATCTGTAAGGGATGCTAATGATACCTATTTCAAAGAGTTATCAGAACCAAATAAATTAATTTGTGTTTGTAAAAGCACATACAGAACAGTAAGCACAGCACATGCCCAGTGAATGTTAGTTATAAAGGCTAACAAATTTGGGAAGATGGGAGGAGGAGGGGACAGTCAGGGACAGTGCATCCCTGCCCTCAGCCTCTGTTTAGTGGCTGATGTGGTGCTGACACCCTGTTGGGGAAATCTGCTCGACAGATGCCAGCCTGACCTTCCACTTCCTCCTCTCACTTGTTATTCAGCCACCACTGACGACAGAGACTTCAGCTGGGCCATCCCCACCTCCTCCGTGGGGATGGTCCCTAAGACTATCAGAGAGTGGCTGAGCACACCGCCCAACCCTCAGCACCTTCTCTGCTCAGGCACATCCCTGTCCCCATAAGTCAACTCCATAGTAAGGATCTCTCTGGTGGGAGCTCTGACATGAAGAGCTGAGGAGAGCCGTGGCTGGCGTGGCTCAATGGATTGAGTGCTGGAACCTGAGGGTCACCAGGTTCTCGATTCCCAGTCAGGGCACACGCCGGGGTTGCGGTCCAGGTCCCCAGTAAGGGGTGCGGGAGAGGCAACCACACATTGATGCTTCTCTCCCTCTCTTTCTCCCTCCTTTCCCCTCTCTAAAAATAAATAAATAAATAAATCTTTAAAAAAAAAAAAAAGGTCTGAGGAGAGGTTTATTCAAGAGGGACCACTCTTTCCCATCTGAGGGACAGGCCAGAATTAAGCCCACTGTTTTCTGGGTTTCCAACCCTTCTCTTTCTCCTTGACTTGGGAAGAGGAGGCAGCCTCTTTCATTTCTGCTGGGGCAACTGTGTAAAGGGGAAATCCCGGGCCCTCTCACTCCCCGGGGGCTTCTGCACAGTCCCTTTAGGGGCATCTCTTCCCCAGGTACCACACCCCTCCCTCTGCACGGCCATGCTGCCTCTCATCTTGCCTGAAGTCTCCTGCAGCCCCGAGGATCTCCTAGAACCTTCCCCTGGATCTCCACACCTCCTCACAATGGCCCCTTACTGTCCATCCACCACCAGACGTTCCACGAGTTTCCAAAGCGATCCATCCCCAAATTTTCAAATGTCGCACACAAGCCCCTTCCCAGGCCACCCCGCCCCCGCCGCCGGCCCCCAGGCATCGCTGGCCCCGCCCAGGGACGCCCTGATTCGCACCCCCTCCTCCGCGGCCAGGTTTCTCCCCATGGAGACCTTCCCCAGCCCGGGCGGGCGTCGGGCTCCGGGCGCCCGTGGGCCGGGCTCCCGGCAGCGGCACCCCCGGAGGCGGGGCCTGAGGCTTGGAGGCGAGGCCACCGAAGGCCGCTCCCCGCCCGCACCCCCGGGTCCGCCCAGCGGATCCTATAAAGGGAGGCGACTAGCCACCCGCCTGGCTGGCATCCTCGAGCTGCTGCCAGCCCCGCCGCGCGGGGCGCCGGAGCCATGACCCTCCGCCGACTCAGGAAACTGCAGCCGAAGGAGGAGGCGTCAGCCGCCGCCCGGGCTCCCGACTCCGAAGTCGCTCAGGTCCGGACCTCGGCCTCGGGCCCCCCCGCCGGGGCCGCCAGCCCGGGACCCCCCGGGGACGAGCTGTACGCGGCGCTGGAGGACTACCACCCCGCCGAGCTGTATCGCGCGCTCGCTGTGTCCGGGGGTACCCTGCCCCGCCGAAAGGTGCGTCCCCCACTCTCCCAACTCCCGCAGCACCAGCTCTCGGTACCCGCTCCCCACCCCCAGGGTCCCTTTCTCCAACCCGCTCGACCCCTCCACATCCCCCATCTGTGCCTGCTGAACCCCGATCGCCACCCCCACCCCCGCTGACCTCCACAACATTCTTCTCGGGGTCGACCGAGCACCCCGCAAGCTTCCCCAGCCCTCAGACCCCCGCGGCCACGTTCGGAACCTACTGAGTCCCCTCGGCCCTCTCCGTGGACCGTGCCAGCCTCCAGCCCCCGCCGCCCCCACCTCCGCGCCTCCCGATCTTGGGGCTCTCCGCGCCGCTCCCCACGCGCCGCCGCCCCGTCTGACTCCCCTCTCTCCTGACCCCCCAGCACCCCCTCTCCTGATTCATCTGGCCTGCGCGCCCCACGCCCCGCCTCCCCGAGCCCAGGTATCTCGCGACCCCGAGGACCCCTCGCCCGGGCTCCTCCAGTTGGACCAGGGAGGCCGAGAGCTGGGGTCCCGCCGCTGGCTCGGTGGCTGCGCCGAGTCCGGGAGAGGGTTCGCCCTTCCGAGGGGCCACCTGGATGCCTCGGCTCGGGGCCTGCCGCCTAGCCCCGCGTCTGAGGTGTGGGGCGCGAGGTCACTGCTCCCTGGACTTCGGCTGGGACCGGACGCGGTGGGAGGGGTCGCAGGGCGCCCGCGGGGCAGGAAGGATGCGGGCCGCGCCCGCTCCGCGAGTCTCCCCTCCTCCGCGGGCTCTTCCTCTGGCCTGAGGGAAACCCGAGCTCTCAGAAGGGGGGACACAGGACCCAGGTTAAGGAGAGGGAGCTGGTGGCCTTTCCTCGCTCTGTCCCCCTCCTCCTTCTCTGGCCCTTGGCTCCCCCCGCCCCACACACAATGAACAGCTTGTTGGGAATTTGCATTTTATGAAAATAGGGTGGAAAGACAAAGGGGTCTCTCTCTATGCTGCCCAGTCTTTCCTCCCTGGCCCATTTGGGAACTGTCCTCACCCCTGAGGCCAATCCTTGGTTCTGGAGAAAGAGGGCCCCCTTCTTAGCCTTGGGGAAGCCTGGGAGGAGGGTTGTTAACAAGGGCGCCAACTGGGAAGGCCCTGGGCTCTTCAGGGCACACCGGACAAGGGCTGGTCTGGAACAGGACGTCCTCCGAGGGCCAATAATTTAGGGAGGGAGAGAGACTACTTTAGTTTCTCAAGGGCTCTAAAGAGGCCGGAACCCTCAGCTCTGTTATCCGCCCCCCCGCCCCCCGCCAAAAAAATAAATAAATAAAAATAAAAAGAGCTTTCGATCTCTCTCCTAAGTATAGTGAGACTTTAGGACACGTTTGGGATCTAAGATTTTTCGTCCCAGAAAGCAACAAACATATGGCAATGCTGAGAGATCCCGGTTGAGCTGGGCACAGCTGGTCCCTGAAACAACCAATACTTCGGAGGAGGTAGTTGGCCCCTCTGTCCCCTGCCTTCCCACAGTCAGGCTGGGATTCCTGGCCCTCCAGACCTGGGCCCCTGACCCCAGCTTGCCCAAGCAAATGTCTGTGGCTGCGATTAGGAGAGACTTGGCTAGCAGGGGGACTCCGGGGTCCTTGACAGGCAAGCCCAGGGGCCCCTGCCCCTCTTTGGGAATGTCCCCCTGCCTTGGCCTGGCTTTTCAGGAGTCTAGGAGGCCTGAGCTTTTGCAGACATGTGTCCTGGGGGTGAAGACTAGTCGATATAGATTATTGAAGCCCCTGGCCCCCAGCGTGGGCTTTGAGGTTCGTGCATCTGGAACTCAGGAGAACTGTTATGTCCCTGCAGTTCCAGTTATCGAGGATAAAGCCTCGGGGGGAAGCCATGGAGAGATACTGAGAGTGGCACTCAGCAAGTAGTTACACCAGCACCAAAGCAGGTTTGGAACTGGGACCAGGCGGCAGGGTATACTGGGTCCAGGGCTGGAGACCAGGTGAGGGACCTCCCAGAATAGGGCTCTTAGCTTCTGCTCAAGCATAGCCCTGTTCTCAACGGCTCCTTCCTAACTCTCCGTCTTCCTGCCCAGGGCTCAGGATTCCGATGGAAGAATCTCAACCAGAGTCCTGAACAGCAGCGGTAAGTCACCACCACCCTAGCCTCTGTCCCGGGTGGGGGTGGGGGGCAGCGTGACACAGCATCTCAGCCTCTCAGCCCAGCCAGGGGGAGTCATTCTCCCACCTTTTCGGCACGGCTCCCTCACCGGGACTGAGGTGCAGCTGGGGGTGTGGGCTGTGTGAAGGGGTGGCGGAGAAAGGAGGTAGGGCCTTTTGAGTCATCAGGTGCTCCTCAACCCACCCCAGTCCCTGCAAATTACCCCTCCCTGGAAGATGTGGACCTGGGAGGTGGGGGCAATGAGAGAAATCTTCAAGGTCCTATGCCCTCCCAGCTCCAGCACACCCCCGCGGGCCCGGACCACAGCCAAGCCTGCTTGAGTCTGGCCGCCCCCCTGCTTCCAGAATCTCAGTTCCAGCCTGTGGCAGCCCTTAAGCTGAGGAAGCGCCTGGAGAAAGGGCGGGCATAGGTGCTGATCTCAGGCCCGACCCTGCCGCGTCCCGTCCTGCTTTGGGCCTGGCTTCTTCTAAAATGGATCAGCAGACTCCAGCCAGCTGGCCAGATTGGGCTGTTTGGCGCTTGAGCTAAAAGTTCTTTCTATATTTCTAAAGGATTATTAAAATAAAAACAAAGAACCATATATGATAGAGGCTGAATGGGCCCTGAGAAGAAAGACCAAAATACTTACTACCTGACCCTCTGCAGAAAAAGTTTGCCAACCCTTCCAGGAAACCAGAGAGCACGGGCAGACACAGAATTTTGAGTCACTCTGCTGCTGGCTCCAGCACACACAGAGGGTTCAAAGTGGGGAGGAGCTCAAGGTTGGGGCTGGGAGTTACACAGCATTTGGGGAGTATCTGGGTCAGGCAGAGAGTTGGGGACCTGGGTCTCCAGGGCCTTGAGGCTATGAGACATGAAGGGGCCTTTGGCAGCTGCCTTAACTCTGCCCCTGGCTGGGAGGGAAGGAAGGGGGTGGGGGTGAGCAGAGGAAACTCTGGGCTCCCCCAGCAGGCGAGGATCTGGAGCGGCTCCAGACCATTGTGTCCAGTGGGCAGGCCTTCAGTGCGGGAAGGGGCAGCTTTGAGGCTCCCCTCCCCCCAGCCCTCACATCTGGTGGGCTGGCCCCACTGCTGCTGGGAGGAGCAGCTGTGGTCTGGGCTCAGCCTCGTGACCGGGATCGGGGGTGGGGCCAGCCCTCTCCCCAAGGCTGTGGATCAGAGGAGGCTCCAGGCTGGGGCTGAATTTGGAGCCTGGGCTACTCAGTAAGTGGTACTCTGGGGCTCACTAGGAAGGAGGGACTGGCTGGAAAATTCAGCTAGTCTACCAGCTCTGGGGACCAGACATTCCCAGTTCCTCGCCCTACCGGTGGCCAGACTGATTCTGTGAGGCTGGATGAAGCTGATTTCAGCTGGGTGTGGGCAGGGACATTCCAGTAACCTGTGATGAGAATGAGTTGTCATTGGAGACAGTGAGCCCTGACCAGGTGTTCTAGAGCAGACTCCAGCATCAGTGGAGGACCTCGCTCGGGGACCGCCACACTCCTGGGAATTCGAACGGTCTTGATGAGACTGCCCCTGTGTCTCCTGCAGGAAAGTGCTGACTTTGGAGAAGGAGGAAAACCAGACCTTCGGCTTTGAGATCCAGGTGGGAGAAGCTGGGTGCAGAGCAAGTGAGGGGTTGGGAGGCCAGTCTGAGGAATGGAAGGACCCTGCCCCAACCCGGGGCTGAGAGTCCCCCTGTCTGTTACAGACTTATGGCCTTCACCACCAGGAGGAGCAGCGTGTGGAGATGGTGACTTTTGTCTGCCGGGTTCACGAGGCAAGCCCTGCCCAGAGGGCTGGGCTCACACCAGGTGGGGCCTGAGCTCAGGACGCGGGGCTCTGGAAAGGGGGTATAACCTTATTCCCAAGCACAGTGGGTGGGAAATCTCTCGTAAAGTCAACTCCCTTTCCTTGTCCCATTTTGAGAAGGCCAGAAAGAAGAATGAGTAGATTCCAGGTTTCGGATCCAGGCAGATTTGCCATCTACTGTGTGATCTGAGCAGTCGCGTTTGTAGATGGGGACAGTAATGCGTCCTCACATGACTGTGTGGTGAGGGGGTTCCCTGGACACAGAGCCAGGGCCTGGCAAACGCCAGATGTTGCCCTTGCTGCGCTGCCTCCACCCGGTGATCGGCGATCCGGCGTGGGCCGGAGTAGGGGAAGGGGCCACATTTCATTGGATCTGCCTGATGTTGGGGATCAGGGCCTATCCTGCTCCAACTCTGGGGTGCCTGTGTTGCGTCCTCTAACTAGCGACTGATGCCTCCAGGAGGAGACCCTTGGGCTTGGCCAAATCTAGAGTCCGAAGTTCCAGGGAGGGGCAGCCTGAAACGTCATGAATTGATACCCCTGCCCCCGTTCTATTACCATTTTCTTCCCTTGCCCACTTACCAGCAACTCCTGGTAGCCAGCTAGTATATTGCAGCTTTGCAAAGTAGTTTTGCACCAATTCTCCCTCCTGCTCCCCGAGGTAGGCACAGCAGGGATTCACACCCCCTTTTTACAGATGGGAAATGAACCCTCAGAGATGGACTCTTGTCCTGCCTGAGGTCAGGAGGCTCTGCAGTGGCTCGGGGTATCAGGAGCTCTCAGGCGTGGGACCGGTGGTAGTCCTTAGCTTGATGCTACTCACCCTGACCCCTTCCTGCCTTGACTGGGTCTCACGACAGCCTGTAGGCTAGACTGAAGTAACCAACTCTGGGAGCAGCTCAAGGTTGCTGGGAGGGCTCAGCCTTTGGGGACAGAGCTTCCTAAAGGTGGTGAGAAAGTGTTGGTTTATGAGGGCCCTGGTCCCTAGGCTGGGGTGCTGGGCCTGGACAGGATCTCCCTGTAACCATGAGGAGTGGGGAGGGGGGAGTTCAGGAGTATTTTGTGGTGGTTATTACCCGTGCCCTGTCTGGCTAAAGCATGGGCCTTGAATTCTTCTGCAATGACCGATGGAGCAGATGCTGACCCCCTGTTTCCCTGGCAGGGGACACCATCGCCAGTGTCAACGGCCTGAATGTGGAAGGTATCCGGCATCGAGAGATCGTCGATATCATTAAGGCATCTGGCAACGTTCTCAGGTATGTCCCGGTGCCAGGGCCCTTGTGACTCCTGAGCTCAGCCTGTCTTGATGTTTCCGCCGGGGGCTCGCTCAGCCTTTGATTCCCCTGCCTCCTCAGGCTGGAAACTCTGTACGGAAGGTCAATTCGGAAGGCAGAACTGGAGGCTCGTCTGCAGTACCTAAAGGTAGAACAGCCCAGACACTGCGCGGCTTCTACCCTCCTCTTCCAGAGCCCCTGCCGCTGCAGGCCCCACTCTTTTTCAAGGGGGTCATTTATTGGTCTGAACCTCCTTTTAACCCTAAACTTTCCTCTGTGTACTCCCTGATCGCTCAGTCTGTACCCGCCTCCTGCTAGTTTCTGGCTGGCTCCTGACAGTGAGGCGGGTGGTGTCTCTTGCAGCAAACCCTATACGAGAAGTGGGGAGAATACAGGTCCCTAATGGTGCAGGAACAGCGGCTGGTGCATGGTGAGTACTTTGGGGTGCAAAGGGTAACTTGTGCCCCTCCTGACACCCTCCTACCCTCAGCCATGCTTCCCCCGCAGAACTAGTGGCTTACTTTCCCCTCCAAAGTGAAGAAAGGTTTGTTGAGCTACTCCTTTGAATACGATATCACCCTGGGCTGATGCACACACATTTTTTTAGTTTATTCTCAATAGTCCTCTAAAGGTAAGTGTTAGATAGTATCATCTCCAGTTTACAGAGGGGAACGCCAGGGCTCAAAGAACATGTCTCAAACTTCTTCCATGGCTCATGTGTCATAACTGGTACTCATAAGGATTTGAATATATTAATCCTGTTTTACAGACAGGGAAGCGGGGCTCAGGGTTGTGACTTGCCCAGGGCTCTGCAGATGGTTACTAGGAAGTTGCCGAAGCCTCCCAGCTGTGCTCCCTGATGGCCCTCCCTCTTGTCTTGCCCTGGCAGGCCTCGTGGTGAAGGACCCAAGCATCTACGACACATTGGAGTCGGTGCGCTCCTGCCTGTACGGAGCTGGCCTGCTCCCTGGCTCACTGCCCTTCGGGCCCCTGCTGGCCTCGCCTGGGGGCCCCCGTGGGGGTGCGCGGCAGGCTGGGGGTGACCCAGATGACGCCGTCTACCATACGTGCTTCTTCGAGGGCACCGAGCCGCCTGCTCCCCCGCCGCCCCCTGCCCGCTCGCCAGGCCTGGGCCCAGCTGAGACCCTGACCTCCGGGCTGCGGGCAGGGTTGAGCCGCAGTGCCAGCGTGCGGTGCGCGGGCCCCGGGGGCGGCGGGGGCGGGGGCGCGCCGGGCGCGCTCTGGACTGAGGCCCGCGAGCAGGCCCTGTGTGGCCCTGGCCTGCGCAAAGCCAAGTATCGCAGCTTCCGCCGGCGGCTGCTCAAATTCATCCCCGGACTCAACCGCTCCCTGGAGGAGGAGGAGAGCCAGCTGTAAGGGAGGGGCGGGCAGGGAGGGGAGGTATTTATTTATTTATTCGTTCCAGCCAGTGCAGAAAGAGGGGGGCGGGGTTGTGGGGTGAGGCTGGCACCAGGCCGAGGGGAGGGACCCCAGGAGCCCCGAGTAGTGGGAGAGGGTCCTTGCCAGCCCAGCTGGCCTGCTAGGTTCCTGGCTGGTCTCTGCCTAGCAGTGAACCCAGGCCCCAGACCCCTTTACTCCTACCTAAACCACAGTGGGAGCTGGCGCAGGGGAGAACCAGGCGAGCTCGGGGTTGGGAGAGGTTCGTCGATCAAAGATGGGGTGTGCCATCCTACATCTGGTCATAGGTGCCTTGTGGAGTGTCCAGGAAAACTCCTTCAAGGGGGCGGTGACCCTGTCCCACGACGCCCTCTCCTCAGCTTTACTTGCTCCCTTTGGCCTTGGGGAGAAATGGCCAAGGGGAGCTGGTTCCCTTTGTGGGTAGTTCCCCCACCTTACACACACACACACACACACGCACGCACACACTCTTCCATTTAACCAGTGGGCCCCTGAGGGGGCCTACGGTGCTGGTCCCCCTCACGCCCGGTCTTGACACCTAAGGGCTTTGCCCCTGCCGGGGGCCTCTAGCTAATTTAGGTCCTGCTGGGCAGGGGTCCTGGGTTCTCCGCCCCTTGGGGGACGGAAATGGGCATGTCTGGGTGGGGCTGGGGCAGCACAGGCTGTTCCACCATTTTGCGTATTGTTGCTTCTGAACCACAAAGTGTATAAAATTGATGGTTTTTTGCACCTGCGTCAGCGTGGTGACTGCGTGCCAGGGAGGGCCGGGCTCAGGCAGGCTCCGGCGCCACCGCTCCCCTCCCAGCTCCCCCCCCCGCACACGCGTGTGTGCACACACACACAAGCTGTATTTTCCATCTTATTTACTTGGAACCCGCAGCCAGGGAAATAGTCTGGGGGATTTTTAATGTACATGTATGGGCCTGAACCGGAGGCCCCACACCCTCCTCAGAACTTGGGCCTCTTGTTTCAGTGCATCCTGAGGTCTCCCTCCCCAGATACCCACAGCAGATGGTGGCCAAGCCCCATCTAAAGTCCTTCACTACCCTTGTGTAAGTAACTGTGCTTGGCACCCTCTCTTCCCCGTGCCTGGGGTCTCCTGCTAAGGAGACCTTAGCCATCACACAGCCAGCTTGTCACAGGCCCACTCACTGATCACTCCTTAGTAGTTTCCCAGTGCCCCCAGAATAAGATGTCCAGCTCGCAGGCTGGGATAGCTCGGTCCCTGCTCTGGCCACCTTTTTGTACCTAAGACACCTTCGATCCCCTCCCTCAGGAGTCTCGGCACTTGCTCCTCCCACAGCTGGCTCCTTCAGGCTTCAACTCTGCCTCCTGAAGGTCTTGCCAGGCAGCCTGGAATACAGTCACGCCCTCTGCAGTGCTGGAGCCCTGTTTTACTTCCATCATACTACTCATCGCCATCTGAAATTGTCTGGATTTTTATAGGTTTTGTGTTTTCCCTGGCCCTCCCTGCCCATTAGGACATGTTCTGCTTTTGCAGCAGGGCTTAGGGACCTCTTCTTTTTTCTTTTTTAGATTTTTTTTTTTTTTTTTTTCAGAAAGAGGAGATGGGAAGGATAAAGAGAGGGAGAGAAAGAGAAACATCGATGGGTTGTCTCTTGTGCATGCTCCAACGGGGACTGAACCCACAACCCAGGCATGTGCCCTGGCCTGGAATTGAATCAGTAACCTTTCGCTTTGTGGGGCAATACCCAGCCAACTGAGCCACACTGGTCAGGGCACCTTTTCTGTCTTATTCACTGCTTTATTTCTTGCCCAAAACTAGTGCATAGTAGAACATGAGTCAATTCAGTGTTTGCTCAAAGCACTTCTAAATAATCTGTTTAGGGTCACACAGAAAGTAAGTGGCAGCCCTGGCCAGGTAGCCCAGTTGGTTAGAGTGTCCTTTCAATAGGCCACGGTTGTGGATTTGATCCCTGATCAGGGCACATTCAAGAATCAGCCAGTGGCCCTGGCTGGTGTAGCTCAGTGGATTGAGCGCTAGTCTGCGAACCGAAGGCTCACTAGTTCAATTCCCAGTCAGGGCACATGCCTGGGTTGTGGGCCAGGCCCCCAGTAGGAGGTGCTCGAGAGGCAACCACACATTGATGTTTCTCTTCCCTCTCTTTCTCCCTCCCCTCCCCTTTCTAAAAATAAATAAATAAAACCTAAAAGGAAAAAAGATCAACAAATGAATGCGTAAATCAGTGGATAACAAATCAATGTTTCTCTAAAATCAATTTTTAAAAAACAGAAAAGTGGCAGAGTTGGGCCTGAGACGTGAGATTTGTCCTCCTTCCTGACAGCGACTAATGCACAGGGGTGGCTTTAAGAGGTCTTAGTAGCAGCCTCCCCCAGCCAGGCTCCCTCTCCCCCCTGCACCACGGCATTGCCTCTCCATGGGCTCCCTGCCTCCCCTCTTCCCCATGGGCCATCCCTGCACACAGCAAGCAGTCAGGGGTGGCCTTCTAAAGAGGAATGAGATCATGACCCTTCTCTGCTTAAAACCCATTATGGCTTCCCCTGGAATAAAAGAATAAAATCCGAACTGTTTTCCATGGCGTATCCATAACATGTTCCTCTGGGCAGACAAATTGCAAAAAGGCATCCCTTCCTCTGGGTTACAGCAGCCACCCAGCCCAACAATTTCTCATGGGGAGCCCTTATGCATGGGAACCTCCAGGATCTGGTCCCTGCCTCTTCAAGTTCAAATGTTTTCTCCTTCCACGTCACTTGTCATGTTTAAGCCACACTATTCTTTCTAGTCCTCCTCAGATATGCCAAGCTCTTTCCTGCCTCTGGCCTTTGCCCACGCTGATTTCCCTGTGTGGAATATTCCCCAAGGCTGATTCCGTCATCCTCAGGTCTCAACTTAAACATCACCTCCTCAGAGAGGTTTCCCTGATCTGATCAGAAGCCGTTCCCTGTCCCCATTATTCTTTATCTTGAGCCTCCCTCCATTTTTCTTTATAGTGCTTACTACCAATTAGTAATTTTCCTGACTTCTTTTTGCATCTGTCTTGTGCCTTCCTAAGGTAGGAAACGCCCTTGTTTACCTTATACCTCCAGGGCCTAACGCAGCCTGGCACACAGTAGGTGATCGATAATGGGAATACCTCTTTGGGGCCAGCCCTGTATAGGGGTGGCCATTGCTCCCCCGTCTCAGCCCTGGGGACAGGGTGAGGAGCCCTCCCCCTGCTCCACCTGGAGTTGGCCGCTGTGGGCCCCTCTCACATCGCACAATCCCTTGGGGGCTGGGCATCAGCTCCAGCAGGGGCACCTGCACCTGGCTGCCCTGCCGCGCCTGGTCCAGGGGAGGGAGGACATAGGATTAAGAAAAGGGAGCTCCCCTAAGCTCCCTGTTTGAACAGCTGCTCTGCTCTGTTTGTGATGACAAACAGCCGCTCCCAGGGGTTCAGGTCTAGGGGAGGGGCCCCCTATCTTTGTTCCCAGAGCCCAGGGCTATCAAGAGACCAGATGCCTGAGCATAACTGGCACCTTACAGGGGGTGGGGACTAGAAGGGCCTCCCTGGCTTTCTCCTCCAAGAATAGATGCCCAGCCACTTTCCTACCAGCTGGTTTTCCCCCTCCCCCATGCAGCTTGTCTTGGGAATGATGGCAGCACTCCTTGCCCAGGCCGAAGGGGGCTCCTGGCCACCCACTAGCCGTGTGCACCCAGAGGAGGGTGAGGGGGTACCCAGGGTGGGGCCGGATCCCACCTCTTAGCTGATGGGTCGATGGCACCAGCACAGCAGCCTCCTGCCGTGTAGGTGGGTGACAGGGAGTGACTAATGTGTGAGCTGAGATGCTAAAAATTAATCCAGGGATCGTGTTTGGTGGAGGGGTGGGGGTGGATGGGAAAAGAGCAGGGACTCAATATTGTGTGGTCGGTACTTTCCCGGCCCTGCCTCTCCTCCTTCACCTCCGACCAGCCTTCTGGTCCTCTCAAAGCCTCAGAGGACTCTAGGGAAGCCTTCCCAGACCCTAGGCCAGAAGGGGCCCCCAGTAATGCCAGAGAGGAGGAGGAGAGTAGACACCACTCCAGGTCTTGGGCATGGAAAAGCGAGGACACAGCCCTGAAGATGTAGTTCTGGTCTGAGGTCCCCACACAGCATGGTAGCTGCCATGTCCTGAGACCCCTGGATCTTCCCCCTTTGCCCATGGGCAGTGGGCGGGGGCAGAAGCAGCCAGTGCACGAAGGTTCCCATCAGCAGGCCAGAGTTGGGGGACACTGGGGGTGGCAGCCACACCTTAGGGAAAGGACAGGGGACTATTTCCCTCAGCACCTGTTATGGACCTAGCACTTGCTAAGTCAGCACTTCCATATCTACCACCTCACTTAGGCCTCAGGCATCTCTGAGGGCCATGTATCATGTCCCCATTTCACAGATGAAGAAACTGGGATTCGAGAGGTTAAGGAAGCGTAGCTGGTACCCGGCAGAGCCAGCATCCTTTCATATGTTTGTCTCTAGAGCCTGGATTGGGGAGTGGGAAGGCTTCCTGGAGGAAGGAGTGTGGGGACAGTACCAAGGTGGGAAAGAACTATTTAGAGGAGCTAAACCTTTAAAGCTGTGGGACCCACTTTTTGGGGGGGAAGGTGGGAGCATGGAGCATATATGAAAAGTGCGACCTCAAGGAGCAGGGCCTGGGATGTGCTAGGGAGCAAAAGGAGGAGGAGCTGGGGTCAGGGGAGCAAGGTTCCACCGATGTGGGTGCTTTCCTGGAGTTAGGTGAGAACGTTGCCATCAGAGAGGAAAGCTCTTGAGACGAGGTCCTGGGCACCACAAAAGAGACTTGGTCTTGGCCACAAGCTTTGTTGACCCACGTAAGAAAACCTGTTAGGAGTGAACCTAACACTCCTGTTTGGCTATTAGACAAAACGAGAGAACTTGAGCTGGATCGCAGCTAGAGGAGAAGAGGTGAGACAGTCGAAGTCATTTTCTGTTTACCAGTTAATTGCTCAGGAAGTTGGGGAACTGAGAGGCTACGGGACTCCCCAAGAGTTCAAGAGAAACCTCAAGCTGCGTAGTTGGGAGGCCGCCTGGTCCTGCAATGATGTCTGGATGGGATGACCTAACGGAGGAAGTGATGGGCTACAAGAAGGGAGAGAGAAAGGAACATGGGGCCACGGAGAGGTTAGGGGACCAAGGAGGTTTCCTCAATAGAATAAAGTAGCCAGGAGCTGAGACTCTCACTGGAGAGTAGAGCAGGTGCGCCTGACCCCTGGTGGTGACCTCAAAACACTGCACCTCAGCTCGGACCTTAAAGACAAGAGCGCAGCAGTAGGAGGGTGCTGGGAAGGCAGCTCTCCTTCCCAGAGACCACCTCCGCTGCCCTTCCCTGGCCCTGCCCCACACTCAGTAAGTGGAGTCTCCTTTAAACCGAGCAACCCATCTTAACCTCTCTGACCCCTTGCTGTGCCTGGCATTGAGTGGGCAAACAACACTGATGAAGGCAGTATGTCTGAATAAATAAACAATGAGTTCAGAACTTCAGTTATCAAACTAAATTTATTTTGACCAACATACCTTCTCTGTGTGGAACCCCACGTGGTCTATAGGCTCATGGACTGGGACGTGGGGAGCAGGGAGGAGCACACTTGCAAAACTGCAAGACAAAAAATGTTGCTCCAAGGGAGATCCTCCCAAACCACAGTGAATATTCTGTTCTTGGAGTTTAGCCTTTCGGAGAGAACAAACAAATCTACGCAAAAAGTATGCAAATACTGCCCCTCTGGGCCTCTTTCCTTGCTGCTACCCTACAGAGTCACTTAACAAACAGCTCCCCTCACAGCTGGCCCGGTCCATTCAGCACCCTTGCCACCCCGTCCCCGCCCTGCCCGAGTGGCCGCCACTCAGGCCCCACCTGCAGTTCTCCCGAAACCTCACTCCGACTGAGGAAGGTGGTCTCTGGTTAAGTGAATGCAAAGCCTGTGATAACCAACTACAGCAACAAATTGCCTGGGGGACATTTAACAGTAGGTGAGCCTGTCCCTCCCCTTAAGATTGATTCTAGAGCTCTGAGGTGCATTGGAGCATTGGCATTTTTAGAAACATCCCAGATGCTCAGTAAGGATTTAGGGACTGGATATTGAATGAAGATAATTCTAGAGGGCTCTGGGCTCCCTCCTCCTAGAACCTTGGCACTCCAAATACTGTCAGACCTCAGGTCCCCCTATGGCCATTATCCTTGTCACACGCATCCCTGGGATCCCTTCCAACCGCACAGAGCCACTTTGGTGTCACGGTGTAAGTTTTGGTATGCATGGTGGCTATCACCCCCAAAGGCTGGGAGCTCTTGAAGGGCAAAGAGATCCCATTAAACACATCTGTTAGAGTCAGGGGTTGGTCCACAACGTAGGTATCCAGGACTTGCGGGCTGACTGGGTGGAGCCGATGCTCAGGGGTGAGGTGAGGGGAGAGGAGGCTGGGGCTGAGCAGCGAGCGGTTCAAGTCTAGACCAGCAGTTGGGGGTCAGCACGGGGAAATTAGGCTGGTTGCTGGTGGTGGTGCCGGGTGCGGAGCAGCCCCAGGAGCTGCCAAGGGACTGCAGGACTGACCTTGGAGAGCCGGGCTTGGTTGACTGGGGTGGGGGCTGGGGGATGGCACTCCAGTGCCCGAGCTGGAGTCAGCTGGGCATCCTACTCCCCACCTTCGCCCAACGTGAGGCTGAGGGCTGAAATTGCAGAGGCAGTTTCCAGTCTGGGGGAGCAGCTGCTATTAGCTGGGGCGGGGGTGGAGATGGGGACTCTGGGTGGTATTTGGGAGCTGAAAGGGAAGCAGTTGGCAAAGCCCGGGTGAGTAACCGCCTCTCCTGAGCAGCAAATCTTGCCGCCAGGAAGTCCCACAGACATTCTGCACCCCCTCCCTCGCCCACACCAGGACCTTTGCCTTGCCCACGCCTACCGGCACCTCCAGCTCGCGCACGACTCACTCTCCCGGCCGCAGCCGCGCGGCGCCCCACCACGCTTGACCCCGTCGCAGATACCCACTCCGTCCCAGCTGGGCAACCACCCCCGCGGATTCTTCCTCCTTCCCTTGCCCCACAGCATCTCCACGCCCCCAGACCTTCAGAATCCGGCAAAACAAACAACAAACAAACAAACAAACAAACAAACAAACAAACCGCGCGCACGTTCCTCCCGGCTTCCTGGGTCTCGGAAGGGGCCGGTCCAGGCCAGTGCCGTGGCCCGGCAGGTTTGAGGACATTCGGGGAGGCGTCGCCCTCTGCTGGGAAGACTGGGGAACTGCTTCACTTCTTCGTCCTTGCGTCCTTGCCCTGTCCCCTTGGCTGCCTGGTTTGACCTCTTGGGCTGCTATCCCTCTTCTTTCCTTGACCTGAATCCTGAAGGACACAGAATACGTAGATGTCGGTCCTCGTCCCAGCTAGGCTACAAACTATCTGAGTCCCAGCCTCCCTGAGGCTTGGGTTCCTACCCTGTGAAATTGCAGCTGTGAAGACTAAGTGCAAGACGATAAAGGAAGATAGTTGGTCCAAAGAGAGTATCTGGGTATAGGGTGTGAGTGTTGCAAATGCTAAGGATGCTCTCTCCTGCCTTCTGGGAGCTAATTATCTACCCCTCCTCGCCCTGTCCCTGCCTGGCCCACAGTGGAAAGCAGGTATAATTCATCCTTGGAGGGCATCACATTTCGATGTTTTGCCATACCCTACGTGCTGTTTTAGGTACTGCCCCCACTTTTTTTCTCCAAGTGCACAATTCATGGTTAAAAGCCTGGATTCTGGAGTCAGACAAATCCAGATTTAAGTCCCTGCTCTCTGACTCTATATATCTGTCCTTGGGCAAACTGCATAACCTCTACCTTCCTCAACCTCAGTTTCCTCATCTGCAAAATGGTAGTAACCCCAGGAGTACCAATTTTTCAGGATGTGGTTAATCCCTGCACATAGCCAGCTCAGTACTTGTTAGTCGATGTTAATGTGCTTGTATTTTGAGCAGGACTCGATTCTCAGTCACACGATTCTTGGAGTGTGCACCATACTCGCCCTTCCACGTGTGCTATAAAAGTAATAAAGGGGCCCAAAGTTTTGCCACCCTAAAATGATGCCTTTTGAGGTATTGATTTTATACTTGTTATTGAGAAACAAAAGATAGCATCAGGTGGATAATAGACTTATTGAGGTGATCACTTTGAATATTATATAAATGTCTGATCATTATGTTGTACTTCTGAAACTAATATAATGTATGTCAACTGTAATTGAAAAATAGAAACAATAAATTTAAAAATAAAAAGAAACAGTGCTGGCTTTGGCAGCACATATACTAAAATTAGACTGATACAGAGAAAATTAGCACGGCCCCTGAGCAAGGACGACTCACAAATTCTTGATGCATTCCATATATTTTAAAAGATTTTACTTATTTATTTTTAGAGAGAGGGGAAGGGAGGGAGAAAGAGAGGGAGAGAAATATCAGTGTGTGGTTGCTTCTCACACACCCCTAACTGGGGACCTGGCCTGAAACATAGGCAAGTGCCCTGACTGGGAATTGAAGTCGTGACCCTTTGGTTCTCAGGCCAGCACTCAATCCACTGAGCCACATCAGCATATTTTTAATTCAAAAGAACTTATGGACCACTATGTTCATAGCGGTGTTATTTACAATAGCCAAGTACTGGAAACAGCCCAAGCACCCATCAGTAAATGAGTGGATCAAAAAACTGTGGCACATTTACACAATGAAATACTACGCAGCAGAAAGAAAGAAGGAACACCTACCCTTCTCAACAGCATGGATAGAACTGGAGAATATTATACTAAGTGAAATAAGCCAGGAGGCAAAAGACTACCATATGATCTCACCTATAACAGAAACTTAATGAACAAAATGAACAAATGAGAAAAACAGACCCAGAGGCATGGAAATAAAGAACAAACTGACAGTGACCAGAGGGGACGAGGGGGTGAGAAGGGAGCAAAGAAGGGAACGGTCAAGTCAAGGAACATGTATAAAGGACCCACGGACATGGACAACAGGGTGGGGATTGACTGTGGGAGCGGGAAGTGGGAGGGGCAGTGGAGAGCAGCTGGGGAAAAATTGGGATGACTGTAATAGAACAATGATAAAATAATAAATAAATAAAAAGAAACACAAGACACAAAGGACTCTTATACCACCAGCCCCCATCCCTCAGCCTGCCTACAGAAATTCAGATAGAAAAACCTGCTCAAAGGAAGGGAGCATCACCTTAGCATTATATATGAACTACATGTGGCAGACGTCTGTTTGTTGGACTCCCCTCAGCATCCCATTGCTTCTGGGTGACCCAGAAGGTCTTGTTTACCAAGTGTTTGCTCTTTCTCATTCCCTGTAAATTACTTGCTTTCTCTTATAATCCCAGACCTCAACCCCCCTTCTCCTTTGTCCAAAATGGCATATCAAACTTAACTGCCCAATGCATCTTCTGATCTCACAGCACCCCCGGCATATACATCCATAATAAACTTTGGACAGTTTTCGCCTGTTAATCTAGTTCATGTTAATAATGATGATTAGCCCAGTAGAAGAACTTAGAAGGTGGGAGGAAAATTACTTCTTGCACCCCCACAGTAAGAAAGGGAGCCATATCCATTTCTGAGCTTGCTCTCTTCCCAACACTGCTCTCAGCCACATGGGCCTCTTATTCCTTCAGTGCACCTAAATTTCCCCTTCTCAGCGCCCTCCAACTCATCCTCTGCGTTGCTGGCCTTTTCCCCAGATAAGGGTCTTTTCTCTCACTTTTCTAGGGCTCTATCCACATTTCTTTATTAATAGCAAGCTCAGTCATTCTTGAGCCACTCACCTGCTCTATTTTTCTTCGTAGTACTTCTTGTTACATGGCATTATATTATACATTTTTATCTGTATTCAGCCTCCCTCCCATCCCTGCCCAATGTATCACCATGGAGAGTAGGGCTTTTGTGAGTTTTCTCCCCCACCTCTCTGGTTCCTAGAAGGCCTGGCACATAGCAGGCCCCGGCGAAAATTTTTATGTGTGACTATGAATAAAGGCTGCACTCCCCTTTCTCCCTTCAAAGGCAGCAGTTCAGTAGATGCCACTTCTGTCCAGCAGAGGGCACCACCACACAGCATTTTGGGATCTCTGGGCTGGGGTTGGGATGGGAGATATTTATAAATCCTGCAGGCCTCTCTCCTCCCACTGAGCGGGTGCGCAGCAGTCTGGCTGGGACCGGAAGCAGGAGGGCCCCCTGCGCTAATCTGCCCTGGCAACGCAGAGCTGGCATGCCCTGGCCACATCCTCGAGGCCACGTGCTCCCGTGGCGGAGGTCGGAATACCCTGACCGCTGTTCTGGGCACACCCCTTAGCAGCTGATGCTTCTGGACAGATCACACCGTGTCCCTGCTCCGCGGCAAAATCAGGGCGATGACACGAGCTGCACTGCTGTCACAGGTTTGCTGTGAGGCCCAGACAGGAGTGCCTGTGACATATTTTGTGAATGTAAACACCAGACAAATATAATTTATACAGGTCTTTATTGGTAGTAGCAGCAGATTAGCAACAAAAGAGGAGAGATTAGAGGGCACTTAAAAGGAACTGCACAGCTAAATGAAGGTGGGTTTATAAAGAGGATGAAGATAGAGAAGGAGAAAGAAGAAGTTAAAAATAACGTCTACCTTTCACCAAGAGCTTATTAGGAGCCAAGGCTGAAGAACGTGATCTCCAAACATTGTCTAATTATAGCCAACACTTAGATGGTGCTGACCTGTGCCAGGCGCTGCACAGAGACTCGCGGGATCCTCACAATTCAGGGAGCTCGGTAGTATTGCTGTCTACCTTCCACCCATGTGGAAACTGAGGCTTGGAGAGCTTAAATAATCTACTCACAGCCACACAGGTAGGGCTGAGATTCAAAACTGAGTTCATTCTGCCTCCTGGAATGTGCTCCTTAGCCCTCGTGTGTCAACCACACGGCAAAGAAGATATTATTGTTCTCTTTCCCAGATGCAAACTGAGGCTCAAGAAGTTTACAAAGCCACAATGTGGATAAGTGTGTTTGAACCCTGCTTAACCACCCAGTAAGAACTTCCAGTGCCTACTGGAGTCAGAAAGGGGCTGCAGAGATGGGTACGGGGTTCTCTCAGAGGGGCCTGCAGCAAACGCACCCGCCTCTTCCTCTGAAGGTCAGGGGAGAGAGAGAGGACAGAGGCTGTGCAGGGCTGAGTGGGTAAAGGAGCTACTTGGTGGCCTCAAATTCCTGGGAGGAAGGAGGCTGCGCCACCATCTGGGCCCTCAGGTTGGAAGAGAGGGGGTGAAAAGTGTGCTGGTGGACGCCAGGCTGTCCACGGTGATTCGGCCCAGGTGTGCAGCTCCCCCACCCTGCGTCTCCGCAGGGAGAATGGGGCTCCGAGGGGCTGGCCCGACAGTGGGAGATGGGAGCCGCTCCAGCCCTTGCCACAGTGCCCCTAGCCCGGCCCCTGGCTGCCAGCCTGTTATATAAGCTGCTTCATACCCAGAGACTGGAAATAGCCATGGCAGTGCTGGGCTGGGATGGGGGCATGATGAATGGCCCCCGGAGCATCAGCTGACTGCATCTGAAGGGACCTGGGGGCCTGCCAGCAGCTCAGGTTACCCAGCCCGCCCTGGGAGCAGGCACTGCCAGGCCTGCAGAGGACAGTTCCAAAGTAACTCTGTGTCTGGACATTTAAGGTATGAGTGTCTGAAGGACTATTCCACTCACAAGCCTGAGTGGCTTAGGCAGCTCACAGCCACGCCACGCCCATGACAGCCTCCCTAGGTTCTGGGAGCCTGAGACTTGCCAAGAGAAAGTGCACTGGGATCTCTGCAGCCAGTACCAGGGAGAGCTGGGAGCTCTGCTCCTTTGGGTCCTCGGCTAAGGACCCCGCAGAGAGCATGAGGAGCCTGAGGAATTTGGGGTGGGATGGGGGCTGCTGGAGGCTGCAGGCTCCATTATTCCAGGGCTGCACTCCACTCCCACGCCCACGCTGCTCCTGTTGCAGCCTACTCTGTCGCTGCACTCATGGCCCCTGGATAAAAGGAGGTGCCCCCACACTCTGATGCCCCCTCTAGACCCCAGGCACACACATCGCTGTATCTGAGAGCAACTTGAATGGACTTCTGCAGGCCACTGGGGCATGGCGGGGCCCGGGGGGGCGGTTCTCCCAGCACATGGTGATTATGTGTTAAGAATTATGATTATGGCCATTCCAATCCTGTGCCTTTAAGATACCTAGTCCTTAAAAAAGAAACCTCTCCCTAAAAATATAAAAGTAATGCTTTAAATTACCTAACAATTAAATCACCCAATTATTTCTCCCTAAGCCCATAGTGGGATAGGCACAGCCAGGGAGTTAGGACCTCTTTACCCCATGACTCCACAACAAGCGGGAACTCCCCACCTTTAGCTGGAAAAAGTGTGGGACTTTTTATAAAAGAGCAATGGAAGGTGGATATGTTGTCCACCTTCCTGATGGCATTTCCTACTCAGTGATTGATTGGATGCGTGCGCGCACACACACCACTGCTCTTCTTGAGTCTCAGATGTGGAGGCAGGAATCTTCTCCAATCTCCTGTAGCCAAACTGCCTCAAAGGCCCTGCCTGTGCCGAGGTGCTGCCCATGTCTTTGCCAACTTCCCTGTGTGCCTGTGGGTCCTGGACTTGTGAGCCCACCATGGAGGCACAGGGAGGGACAGATTCCAAAGGCACACCAGAGAGCTAAGGGATACCAACCCCACTGCCGGATAAACCTGTAAGGAGAAGGGCTTAGCTTCTTTCCTGCCCCTAGGTCTCTCCAGATGTTCCCCTGGGAGTTGTCACCAGTAACCAGAGCTGTTCCGATCGCGAGAGCAGGAGGGATGGTGTTGCTTGGCAACTGGGAGAGCACAAAAGATCCAGCTAATCCGAGCTGCCGAGCTGCCGGGGCAGGCCAAGCCCCACAGCTTAGAGGCCAGGGGCCTGCTGGCCAGCAACAGCCCCCCAGGGACAGATACTTAAAAACTTTTACCTCTTTCCATGTCAGCAAACCCCAAGATCTGGGCAAGTTCTGGCAAACCCCAAGGTTTGCACAGGGAGGACCCTTTCTCTCCCTACTCTTCCTGTCTCTCACCTCTTTCATGAGCGCTATCTCTCTCACGGCCCAGAGAAAAACTTTAGACCTCCCTGGGCATCCCAACTCTGCTGCAAGCCATGGAATTTGGGGTAAATCACTTCATCTGTCTGAACCTCAGACTCCAATCTGGGAGGCACTAACTAGTGGTTCAATGCATAGGCTTTGGGGCCACATCGACCTGAATACAAATCCACACTCTACTGTTTCTCAGCTGTGTGACATTGGGCACATTATTTAACCTCTTATAGCCTCAGTTCCTTCAGTACTAAACACACCT